TTGGTTACTTGAAAAATGAATGTAAGGGTGAGTACTCTACACTACCCAAAAACACACAATAAATATAGAGTCTCACTTCTAGAACATTCCAACACATTAAACAAACACAATCACCAACAACATTTCACATCCATAAGTATAATTCATAAATCCATGCATATGCACGTCAGTCACATTCACTGCAGCACTGTGATCACGGATTTACACCATGAATGGTCGCCGATTACCTCCTCATCACGGATACCACGTGGGCAGTCACGGGTTACTCAGCAAAAGTAATAGTCAGAGGTCTAGTCAGGAAGAGAGTGTGTGGCCCGTGGTGCACTCATTCCACAATCGGTGTCACCACCACTCCCTCTTCTCCAATGTATTTCTACCGTCCTCATCTCTCACACCCCTAGTGTATCGCTGAACCATTCACAACACATTACAACAACTAAACACAATCACCAGTAGCATTTCACATCCATAAGTACAATTCATAAACTCATGCATATGCACGTCAGTCACATTCACTGCAGCACTGTGATCACGGATTTACACCATGAATGGTCGCCGATTACCTCCTCATCACGGATACCACGTGGGCAGTCACGGGTTACTCAGCAAAAGTAATAGTCAGAGGTCTAGTCAGGAAGAGAGTGTGTGGCCCGTGGTGCACTCATTCCACAATCGGTGTCACCATCACTCCCTCTTCTCCAATGTATTTCTACCGTCCTCATCTCTCACACCCCTAGTGTATCGCTGAACCATTCACAACACATTACAACAACTAAACACAATCACCAGTAGCATTTCACATCCATAAGTACAATTCATAAACTCATGCATATGCACGTCAGTCACATTCACTGCAGCACTGTAATCACAGATTTACACCATGAATGGTCGCCGGTTACCCCCGCCTCACGGATACCAAGTGGGCAGTCACGGGTCGCTCAGCAAAGGTAATGGTCAGAGGTCTAGTCAGGAAGAGAGTGTGTGGCCCGTGGAGCACCCATTCCACAATCGGTGTCACCACCACTCCCTCTTCCACAATGTATTTCTACTGTCCTCATCTCTCACACCCCTAGTGCATCACTGAACCATTCACATCACATTACAATGGCGCTAACACGTCCATTCACATATATTTCATTCACGCATGCAATAATCATGCTTACACACGACACACAACCACATTGCATTCAAATACACGGCATTAGGCCCACATTCATTTCACATTACACGGCACATAGCCAATATTCATCTATATTACACCACATTTACATATAATTCACATCCATCAAGTTTGGGTCAACACACATAATGTTCACACATCACGGCACATGGCCCACATTACACTTCTCAGCAATTTCTTACCCACTAACTTAGCCACAACACAATATTAAGCAAAATAACAACAATTCATGCACAAAAGAGTAGAATGAAGTTCCCTCCTTACCTTAAATTGAAGGCCCACACTCAGATTCGACCACGTACGCGCTCCTTACACAGATTGCGGCCTAAAACACATGGAAAAACTCCATGAGAACGCCAAGAAACCGAGAAACAGAGAATTGGGGATGAGAAACGGAACCTTAACCATTAAAACTCACCTCTAAGCTTTCCTCACACGGATTTAACCTTCAATCAAGCTCCCAAATGGCTTTGGAGGCAATTAATCGGTGGAATAGAGCTTTGGGGAATGAAAGGAACGAAGGGAGAGGGAGAAATAACTCTCCCCGAACCCTAACTCCCTTTAAATCCTTTTTTGGTCACGACACTCTCGCTACAGCGAAAAAATCAGAGAAAACTGCACTCTGATTTCTGCAGAATCTCACTACGAGACTGCACCCAGAAATGCACCCCAAACTGTCGCTACAGCAAGAAGATGACAGTTCTGATCCTTCCTCCCAGGGCCCTCTCGCTACAGCGAGAACAGCCCAGTATCATGTCCTACATTTAGGTACTTAGCCCATTTTAGCCCTATCCAGTCATGCATACACACACACACACACACACATATATATATATACACACACACACTCATCCACAGCATACATATATGTACATATATTCATACTCATTACACACAAAACACCATCATCACACATCCAATGCAAATTTTCAACATCCCTTTTACGCTTATACACATATATATGCATTTAGATTTATATAAATAACAATAATTAATACTACCGAAATTCGGGGCGTTACATCCTTGAGGCTAAGGTTATTTCTGGAAACAATGCTGGTCAAAAGGTATTCATACCAAGATTATCTTTGACTCCTTTAGATACTAGGATACCTTTTAAGTTTCAAAGAAGACAATTTCCAATTGCTCTTTCTTTTGCAATGACAATCAACAAAAGTCAAGGTCATTCTCTTAAGCATGTTAGGATTTTCCTTCCAAAACCACTTTTTTCTCATGATCAGTTATATGTAGCAGTCTCTAGGGTTACCAATCGAAAGGGATTAAAGATCCTTATACAAGATTGTGATGGAAAAAGTACAAAAACTGTTACAAATGTGGTATACAAGGAAATCTTTCGAAATTTAAATTAGGTTTATTATAAAAATTATAAATTTCTTTTTTAATTAATGTCAATATGAAAGAAAATACTTTATAAAGTTATATATATTATATTTCTTTCTTTCAAATAACTAATATTTTTATTAATAATAATATTAACATATACTAATTATTTTTAAACTTTCAAATAGTTTAAATATTATTATAAAGTTGTTCTTATCATAATATTTGTCTATATTTTGTATGTGACACATAAATTTTATATTATATCAACATGTGTAATTTTAATTGATATAAGGATTCATTTTTGTTTTCAATAAAATTATTATTCTCTTTTACTTTCTATTTAAATCTTAATTGAAATTTAAAATATATAAAGTATATAGAAATTTGCATATGAAAATTTATTTATCTTTTTTTTTAATCTATTTATATTTGATATTATTCAGTACGTCTGAAGACAAGGAATTCATAGGTTTTCTTTCAAGAAAAGAAGAAGATTAGAGTGGGTTGGAGCAGGAACAGTTCTTAAGAAGTTGTTAAGAAATGAAGAATAATGGAAGAGCTTTTAAAGGAAAAGGAAAAATGAATAGTCTTTTGGGCACGAGATCTTTGGTTGGTGCGTGGTTGATTAATGACATACATACATAATTTAATGAAAAGAAATAAAACGAAGTGTCCATGTCGATGATGTTGTTATTATTAATATTGTTTATATTTTACTGCATGGACTATGATAAAATATAATATATTGATGTCAGGTTTTAAATTTTAGACTGTTTTATATAACATATAATAAAATTAAACCTGATTGAATGCACAGGAACAACCATAGCCATATTCAGATCGTCTGAAGCCAAGGAATCCATAGGTTTTCTTTCAAGAAAAGAAGAAGATTGGAGCGGGTTTGAGCAGGAACGGTTGTTAAGAAAGGAAGAATAATGGATAGGCTTTTAAAGGAAAAGGAAAAATGAATGGTCTTTGGGCGCGGGACCTTTGGTTGGCTTGTGGTTGATTAATGACATACATACATAATTCAATGAAAAGAAATAAAACGAAGTGCCCGTGTCGATGATGTTGTTATTATTAATATGGTTTATATTTTAAGGCATGGACTATGATAAAATATAAGATATTGATGCCAGGTTTTAAATTTTAAACTGTTTTATATAACATATAATAAAATTAAACCTGATTGAATGCACAGGAACAACCATAGCCATATTCAGATCGTTTGAAGACAAGGAATCTATAGGTTTTCTTTCAAGAAAAGAAGAAGATTGGAGTGGGTTTGAGCGGGAACAGTTGTTAAGAAAGGAAGAATAATGGAGAAGCTCTTAAAGGAAAAGGAAAAATGAATGATTTTTTAGGCATGAGAAAAGAATATTCTAAAGGAAAAAGAAAAATGAATGATCTTTAGACGCGGAAGCTTTAGTTGGTGCGTGGTTGATTAATGGCATACATATATAATTTAATGAAAAGAAATAAAAAAAGTCTGAGTGTTTTCTCTCTTCTATTAAATTATAAATATATAAAATATAAATTATTTTAAATATGTGCCATTAGCCCATTGGTAAATCGAAGCAAACCATACAAAAATTCCTTGCTCAGCTTGGACTAAGATGTTATGAAAGTAAGTTTATGGTGATACGTACTAGGCCCTAAGCCCAAAATATGAAAACATTAAGTAAAGAAGGCTGGGATTATTGACACACAAAAATTGGGGTTGGTGACCAAAAGAGATGAGGGGCGAGATTGTTTATAAGACTAGAAAAAAAATTAAAATTAGCATTACATAAGTAGCTTTAATCTATGAGTATAAAGGTTTCAATATTTTGTTATAAATTATTTCAGCTATGAAATAAATAAATTTAAATACGCATTTGATTTATTTATTTTACATTTAAAGTATTTATAATTTTTTATTTACAGAACTTTTAGAATATTTTAATACATTAATTCAATCCAAACATGCACTGCTGGTCCATATAACTGCAGACTTGCTAAACTTATTTTATAAACTACATTTTTCATGTCATGTAACTCGTATTATATAGACGTAACTTTTGGGTTTGAAATCAAGTGAACAAAAGTATATTTGTTTTTTTATTTTAAAAAACAGTTTTCTGTTTTTAAAAATAAAATATAATTAAAAGTAATTAACATTTGAGGTTAATTATTGTGGGAATTTTCTAATGCTCAGGAACTCTGGTTTCTTAAAATAAAATCTTTACCAACCCACATTAATATTGTAGAGCTCAATTAAATTAATGGAATCGCATGGTCTCTAATTGCTTTGAATCCCTACCCACCCCACCAACATTAACATTCTATATACATTATTTAAATTCATTGCATAAAATGAAAATTGGTCATTTGGGAGTGAGAGGGCGGCAAAAGAAAAGAATGGGAAGAGAAACTGAAAAAGCATTCAAACAAAACAGGAACAGTAAGCGAGGGTCAAAGTCCAAAAGCGTAATCTGAGAAAAGGACTGAACAAAGGGAAAGGAAAAGAAATGAAATAAGAGCACGGGTAAGGTACAGTGCTGCCTGCCCTAACCCCTTAACCGCATTTTCATTTACTTTTTGTTTCTCTCTTCTTCTGCTTCTTCTTCTTCTTCTTCTGTATGTCTTGTACGCGAGATTAGGAATGGTTGTCGTTTCAAATACCGTTGTGTCGTTGTGACGTAACCGCTGCCTGTGTTTGAGGTGAAGTGATTGTGTTTGTAATCGAAAATCGAAATGGAGCAGTATGAAGTTCTCGAACAGATTGGAAGAGGCTCTTTTGCTTCAGCTCTGCTTGTTAGGCACAAGCACGAAAACAAAAGGTTTGTTCCTAACTCACCTGTGTCTTTTGTGTTTGGTTTTTCTCACATTCATCGATAACATTCATATATCGTTTTTGTTTCACGTAATTAGGTATGTTCTTAAGAAGATTCGTCTAGCGCGCCAAACTGATAGAACCCGTAGATCTGCTCACCAGGAGGTAATACGAAAGCTCCTTCTGATTTTTTCTGCAGCTTCAGAATTTAATGTTCGTGTTTAACGTAGGTTTTATGATTCTTTTTGGTTGATGTCACGTTTGAATTTTGATGTAATGTTTAGATTATGTTTATTTCTATTTTTGGTTTGTTTATATTTTAAAACGTGAAGCGCGGTACTCGTGTTGTTTTTTAAAATTTGAAAGATTCTGAGGTGCTTTGCTCATTCCTTGTTTTGCAGATGGAGCTTGTCTCTAAAGTTCGGAATCCGTTTATTGTTGAGTATAAAGATTCTTGGGTAGAAAAGGTCAGCTTAAAAAAAAAAAACAGAAAATAAAACTTTTTAAATTTGTTGGCTTTTCCTTTTGTGCAGTGCTGTTGTTTACTTGTTTTGCCAAGATTCCCAAGAGTATAAATTTTGGTTTATGTTGACAAAAATGGCTTCTTATGGACTTAAAGAAGTGTAATGGTTTGTTACTCGCTTGTTTATTTACAAATGCTGAACTTTTATTATATTGATGATGGAGCTGCTTTGGTATCAGAATGTGGGTTTATATTTATTGGTTAATTTTAAATTCTGAAATTTGCTAGCTGGTACCTTCATTTCCAGGGTTGTTTTGTATGTATCGTCATTGGCTATTGTGAAGGAGGAGATATGTAAGTCATGGTTCACATTAAATTCAAGTATTTGTGATCTTTTAATTGCTAATTAAGTTGTTATACAGGGCAGAAGTTATTAAAAAGGCTAATGGTGTTCTTTTCCCTGAAGAGGTTGGTCAGTCTTGCAGCAATTGCTTTTACTTCTTGGCCTGGTGTGAGTAATTTTCATTTCTGGCACTTACCTAATATATATAACCAATTTTTTTTAATACAGAAGCTTTGTAAGTGGCTGGTTCAACTGCTGATGGCACTTGATTACTTGCATGCAAATCATATTCTTCATCGTGATGTCAAGGTGAATGATTTCTTGAAGTTCAATTACTGTAGATGTTATGTAGCTGGGTAACTGAAATCTTTGAGAACCTACTTTATATTGATGTTTAATCCACACTGTTTTCAGTGTTCAAATATATTCTTGACAAAAGATCAAGACATACGACTAGGTAATGGCCTTCTTCATTCCATTCTCAAACTGCGCTTAATGAATGCTTGGAGTCTGAACATCTCTAAGTAGTGCTGTGTTTTTTTAGTATCATATGGACCTATACTCACGTCATGTATGTTGGATGCAGGTGACTTTGGTCTAGCTAAAATGTTGACATGTGATGATCTTGCTTCCTCAGTGAGTGTTATATTATAGCCAAGATATTCTATCGAATCATTTCACTTTTAAATTTTTACTTGATCTCTTGCTGTGTGTTCATGCTGTAAGCTTAGGTTGTGGGAACACCAAGTTATATGTGCCCAGAGCTTCTTGCTGATATACCCTATGGCTCTAAGTCAGATATCTGGTCCTTGGGTAAGATAGATTTCTTTTGTTCTGATGAGATCACTAGGCTTAGTTAACCTTTCCTTTGCCATCTTACAGTTTTTTTTTTTTTTTTTCCAATTGCAATTGCCGTTGATTATAATTCATAACAATTGTCAGGGTGCTGTGTATATGAAATGGCTGCTCACAAACCAGCTTTTAAAGCTCTTGTAAGTTACTATCAGCAGCTGGCAGAGTTATTTACTTAATTAACGTTTTTAATGAAACATTATTTGCCAAACCTTTTTATCTTAAGTACGGTAATTTGTGGGGATACAAATAATTCATTTGAAACATGAAATATTTTGTCACATTAGTAAGTCCATTGGTGATATTTGAGCTATTACATTTTGGAACAGAACATGAAATCAGTCTTTTTATTTATCTATTGTCTTCTATTTGTACAGGATATGCAAACACTTATTAACAAAATAAACAAGTCTTTAGTGGCTCCACTACCAACAGTGTATTCTGGTTCTTTGTGAGTCTTCTATTTCCGAGGAATCTTTATTTCATTATACTCTTTATATGTTTTTTGACTCTTTTCTCCCTGTTATGAAACTGCTATGTTTGTGTCTATATTTAGTTACTTACAGCATTTAAATAATATCAGTGCTTACGCATGCATTGCTGATACTGATCAAAATTAGTGATAAGTCTTCAAGGCATTCAAAGTTTGTCAGGCAGGCCTACCATTAGATCTTACCTATGGCTTATAGTATTTCTGAATATTTGTAAATTGGAAGTTTAGGTGCTCTTTCATCGATAAGTGTTCTTTGTTATTATTTGTCATTTCCAAAACATGACACCACTACTGCTTTCATTTCACTTAATGTTCATTATGTTAGGAAGATGACATGTTATTCTGTATGGGGTTTAGTTTACCATTGCACATGTCGTAATGATAATTCTAGTTTAGCCAAAAGCAATATACTCCCCAGATCTGGATATTTCTTATTGCCTCTTATTCTTATCTTTGTTCTGTTACTTATCATTTTTACTTCCCAACTTGTTGGCCACATTTGGTTGTATGATTTGTGAACTTATTGTGATATGTCTGTTTCTTTTTGCAGTCGAGGGCTTGTTAAGAGTATGCTGCGGAAAAATCCAGAGCTTAGGCCAAGTGTATGTTTTCTTTCATGTATTTCTTTAATCTTTGTAGTTATCAAGATCTGGATTGATTGATAAAAACTAGACTATAAAAATAACTGTATGCAGATATCATTGTCTTTGAGTGATAAATACATGTAAGATTAATTGCAGTTTGTTTTGGCAGGCTGCAGAGTTACTAAACCATCCGCATCTTCAACCTTATATTCTTAGAATTCACTTGAAATTAAATAGCCCCAGAAGAAGTACTTTCCCATTCCAATGGTCTGACTCAAACTATGTAAGGAGGACTCGGTTTTTGGAGCCGGAATCTGTTTCTACTCTTTCTGACAGAGAGAAACGATTGTCATTCAGCAATGACAGGGCCTTGAATCCTAGCATTTCTGGAACTGAACTAGGTTCTCTGTGTTCTACACTAAGAGCACACAGATTCTCTACTTGTTCAAAAGAGAAACTCTATGAACTATCTGATGGCTGTGTCCGTGAAGAATGCAATCCAAACAAGTCAAGAGACGCAAAGTTCTCAACTGTTGATAGGATTCCAAGATCGAGGGAAGCTAAGGAGTATGTCAACCCCCGACGGCAGACAATACCATCAAAGATATCCCATACTGGTTTCAAGCGTGATTTAGTAAGTTTAAACTTCTCAATATCTCCATTTATCTTGATGTCTGTGACATAATAAGTAAGAAAAGAAAAAATAATTTGAACTCATGCTGAACCTATGAATTAATTTCTCAACCTGAATTGTCATTGAAGGGTCATAATCATATATTTTTAAAACAGGTAAATTTGGGTTTGAATTTTCATATATTGTGGCGTTAGAATTTGAATGATTTTGTCTCATATATGATGCATTTAGGTCCCGTGCATGCATGTGTCATTACTTGTAGGTATGTCCTGTACGATCTATCAACATCAAATGTCATTACATGACGATTTCTATCAATTTCCTGTAGAGCTTAGTTTGTGGTGTGCTGTCCTTTGCCTGAATTAATTGAGGAGTGTATGTATGTTAATGATGAATCCAGATGTATATTAATTAATTTGTTTGCTTATTGTCATTTCAGCTTCCAGCATCTCTCACTCCAGCTGGTAAATTTCCTCCACCAACTCGTAGAGCCTCCCTTCCACTACCTACCAGAGACATGGTCACAACCACCCCTCCTAGAGCTAATGTCAGTCTTCTTCGAAGTGTGGACTCTCCTGATATTTCTGTAAATGCACCACGAATTGACAAGATTGCTGAATTCCCTCTGGCCTCTTCTGAGGATCCTCTCTTCCCTGTCCGTGGAATTTCATCAACATCGGTTCAGTGGTCTTCTGGTTCCCCAAGTAATGCTGACTGCTTAATCACAAAAGACAAGTGTACAATCCAAGTTGTGGACAAAGCCAGTGTCCCTTCCAGTGGCAGTGATGTTTGTCCTGGTGCTCCAGTTTCATTTGGCAATGAATACTCTGAACATGTGGCAACTGCTGTTTCAAGTCTCTCCTCTGGTGAGTCTCGTCAGCACAGATTTGACACCTCTTCTTTCCAGCAACGCGCAGAGGCATTGGAGGGTTTGCTTGAGTTCAGTGCACGGCTCCTACAGCAACAGAGGTTTGAAGAGCTTGGGGTATTATTGAAGCCGTTTGGTCCTGAGAAGGTTTCTCCAAGGGAGACAGCTATTTGGTTGGCTAAGAGCTTCAAAGAAACTGTGGTCTAAGGTTTCCTGAGCCACTTTTAGATCGTTAACAACTGTGTAAAGTTATGTAGAACTTGACGAGTAGCTTAGCCTCTAATCTTATTGTTCTAGTTGACACTTGACACCATTGACATTTTCTGAGATGTCTGCAGTCCGCTGCACTTGCGCAAGTAGTCTGAAGTTAATTTTCTCACCAGTAGATCAAAACGGGGGTGTTATTGAAGAGTTTGCTTGACTTCAGAGCACGGCTCCTGCAACAGCAGTTGAAGAGCTGGGGGAGTTGTTTAAGCCCATTGGGCCTGCGAAGGTTTCTCCAAACGAGACAGCTATTTAGTTTACTAAGAGCTCCAAAGAAACTGGAGAGTACTTATGATGCACTTCTATGATCATTAACAACATTGTAAATTAATTTAGTACAACTATGTATTTCGTTATAATTTGAAAAGCAGTTTAATTTCTGTAATTGGGTTTTGCTCTTTCTAATCTCATTCTTAAGTTAATACCATTCCAAGGCATTTTCTGAGATGCCAAGCTCTTCGAGATACTTGCTCAAGTAGTTTGAAGTTAATGATTTTCTCTCATAGATCGAACCTAGACTTCCAGCTATTTATATGAAATTGAGACATAAAGAACCATTTTATCGTAATAATCTATTTTCAGAATTCACCATTGTCATTCAATATTGTATTATCACGCCGTCTAATAAATTTAATAACGAGTTTAAATCACTTAAATATCATTTAATAGCAAAAAGGATTCATAAATAAACTTATGATCGGGAATAAAAGTATATTCTTTAAATACGTTATGAAGAAAATAACTATAGCTTATTGACCAATATTTTATTATTTATTGACTTTAAAATGGAAAATAATTTAAAATATAATTGAATACATTACTTATATATTATCATTTTTTAAAATTCATTAATATTCCAGCATATAGTTAATTGGTGCATAAAAAAAAATTATTTATATAATAATTGAAAATTTTCGCATTTTTAACTGACAAATAAATTTTAGGCATTATTATTATTATTTTCAATTATTATTCATATGTTATGCATTATAGGTATATAGATAAATTGAACTAATTTTTAGGTATTAAATAAAAAAAACAAAAAGAAAACAATGGGCCAAACTTGAGTGAAAAAAACCCGCAGCCCAATAACTGGAGCCCAGGCCCATCGTAGTCGTCGTCGCCATCGTCATGGAGTGTTTATACTATACTCTCTCCCACTGCAACTGCTAGAGGTGCAGATGGAAGAAGCAGAGATCATAGATTTATACGAGCTTCACTATTCGGATTTATGTTCACCTTCAACTTCAACCAAAGTAGATTCAATAATGGAAACCCTAGGACCCAGTGGTCCAGGACTCCTCGCCATCACTGGAGTCCCCAATGCTTGCAACCTCCGCTTACACCTTCTGCCGCTCACTCGGAAGCTCGCTGTTCTCGACCGTGAAACCCAAAAACGTGTTCTCAAGGTATATAATTTGTCATTGGTATTGTCTTCTGAATCACTGTTACACAATCATCAATCTAGGGTTTAAGTTATGTAGGGATGCTCATTGTGCTTGCATTGCGTGCTTTCCTAGGAGCATAACTTGGGTAGTGACGTTCCTTTGAAAAACCCTAATAGGAGTGTGTCCTCTTTTGCTATGCAACTGAAATATGCTAAGTCTCCACAATTCACCAAAACTGCGCCAAGTAATGTATCAGATAATTGCCAATTAGATAGTCCTCGACATGTTGAAGAAACGGTGACAGATTGCAATTATATGGAATTAAAGAATCTCGGAAGTGCTTTTCAAGAGTTAGGGTTTTGCATGATGGAGCTAGGGCTTTGCCTTGCTCGAATATGTGATAAGGCGATTGGTGGCAATGAGTTAGAGCTGAGTTTATTCGAATCATATGCAGCTAAGGGGCGACTTATTCATTATCATTCACCTTTAGATGGTCTCCTCCTTAAACAACTTGAGAGGAGCAGAGCAACTAGCAAAAGACGTGCTAATAATATCAAACAGTTAGCAGGGTCAGAGTTGACTTCAATCGCCCATGATGCTACCTCGTGTGGAGTTCATTCGAATTTGTGGCAGCAGTGGCATTATGATTATGGTATATTCACTGTTCTAACATCACCCTTATTTCTTTTGCCATCTTATTCAGAGACAAGCAATACAGAAGATCCATTTCCTGCTGCTTGTTTTGATGAATGTCCATCCCCAACTGGGCATACATGCTTGCAGATATATGATCCCAATAAGAAAAGGGTCTTCATGGTGAAGGCCCCTCCTGAAAGTTTTATCATTCAAGTTGGGGAATCTGCTGATATAATCTCCAAAGGGAAGCTTCACTCTACCTTGCACTCTGTTTATAGACCTTCCAAGTTTGAAAATTTGAGCAGAGAAACTTTCGTTGTATTTCTGCAGCCTGCGTGGACTAAAACATTCTCTATCTCAGATTATCCTCTTGCAAAAGCCTTCAATGGGTTCGATGGTCAGTGTTTAGTGGCATCTGATGATGAGCATGAACAGTCTGGGAAGGATAATAATATTTTAACTCGAGAAATTCACAAAATAGTTCCCCCACTGTTGTCACGGTTGAAGGAAGGGATGACCTTTGCCGAGTTCTCACGGGAAACAACGAAGCAGTATTATGGTGGTAGCGGTTTGCAATCAAATAGATGACCAGATTCTGGTTAGTGCTGTTTCAATGTATATCCTCTGCCAAAGCAGTAGATTTTGAGAAGTTAACCTTACTAATTATGTATTCAGCAACCTTTTTTAGAATAATCATATATTAGCAAAAAGAGTTAGACAGTATGGAAGGACTGCATTTCAGCTTAATGACCCATTTGTTTTGAGAAAACGGTTGCTATTTCATTCCTGATTTCATAAATATTACATAAATGTTTTCACTTGGTTTCTTATCTTCGTAATCATATATGTGGCTATGGAATAGTGCATATAAGGGTCTGATTATTTCCATAAAGTGTATTTGCATTTTGTTTTCTCTTCATCAAATACGTGTACAAGAAAGAAAACTATAAAAAAAGTTATTTTTGCTCTTTCTTATATAAATATTTGACAACTGAAAATTAAATAAAACAATGTTTCATTTTTTTTATCTGTTTAAATCACAAGTATTTTTCTCTGACAATCTTATTGGAGTTACAGAATTCTTTATTTGAGTACTTAAACATAGATACATTTATTGGAATTCGAACTAAAAGTATACAAAATAAAAACAATATTTTCTCAAATTAAACAGGACTTAAAATTTTGATTGTCAATCTTGTATGCGCAAATAAAGTAAAAATAAGATAGTATTTTTATATATACATTTTTATTTTCAAATAAGACGGTAATTTCCCTTTTGCGTTTTGGTTCTCCTCCTCCCCCCCTCCCCTTTTTTTTCTAGTGATCTTCAATTTTGTTCGTTATGTACACACTTTATAGGAATAAAAAATTAAAAAGAAAAAAAAAAGGGCCGAAAAAGAGGACCTGATCATGCAAGTGAAACACTTCATGCAGCAGCTAGCCGATAAAGAATAGACGTGCATTGAGTACCTTTACACTTTCAGCCTGTCCCGTGCGCACATCTGTGATTGTAAAAGGAGATACCTACAATGGAAGGTTCGGGTCTCGCTCTCTCGTTCATTCCAATGCTCCGGCTTAAACCCAAAACCTGCACACAATTACTAGAGAAACATCGCACGTGTTCAAATGTAAAAAAGAGAAATTTGAATGAGAGTGATGTTCACCTTTTAATGTTTCACTTTGTAACATAATGCATAGACGTCTCTATTGTTAGATGATAATAGTTTTTATTTTCGCTTCGGATAGTCTATAAGCAGCAAATTGTGCGATTAAACTGTAAGCGAATGTGGGTGAGGAGCTGTTTTACATCGGGTCGGCATCTGTGGTAAATAAAGCAAAATGAAAGCACTGGTGAGTCTAAAAAATAAAAAAAGATGGGGCAGAAAAAAAGAAGAAAGTAAAAGGAAGCCTATGTATACTTTGTTTGTACAACAAATTAGCCACTAAGTAGGTCTTGCTTTCTCATTCTTTAGTGGCCCTAAAGGGTAACTAAAAATGACTTCAAAAAGCAAACTTGAATAGGAGAAATCCTTGCTCTGAAATGAAAGCACAAAGTGCAATTGAAATCCAAAGGGAAAGATCGTCAATGAGAAAACGAGGCAAAAGGAATAAAGTTCACATCTTTTGTCAGTTATTGAATGAAGGACAGAGAAAAATACTAACAATTAAAAAAAGCCAAGGCTCTCGTTTCTCTTCTAAGAGTCATTTTTGTTCTTCTTGAGAAAATTATGAGAGGGGAATGGAGATTGTGTTAATGCCTGTGGCTGAAAAATTTAGAAAGCAGGAGCTGATGACGTACCTGTGCACGCGCATTTTGGCTCAGGTCCTCTTCTGGAACACAGCTTTTGTGTCCCAACACTGAAGAAAAATGGCTCTGCTAAAACTTGTTTGGACTTCCTAACCTGTCGGCCTTAGACGTTGCCAACTCCTAAGACAAGAAGGAACACCATAACTCAGCTCACTCTATAGCGTCTGACATTTTCCCCTCTTAATGTCAGAGCTGCACACTCTGATTTCTACTTCTATGAGGCGCTAGAATCAGTACCTTTCTTTAAATGGTCCTATATAAGTACATATATAAACTCTTGCCTCTTGGAACCCAAGTGTGTATTTATTCATGTGATCATATCCACGAAACTCATTTATAACTAGATTTGAACTTGAAGCTTTTTAATGACATCTACTGTTGCCTGTTGGAACTGAATCTAGCTTCAGAATTTCAAATTGTTTTAAAAGGAAACAACTTCGTTCTCCCAGACAAGGAATAAAATTTTATGTCTACTCAGAACATGGATGTTACTCCAGAGAATTAAATCAAGTTGTGTCTTTCCGCGTTTGATGGAACCTTTACATGGTTGGAAAGTCCATCACCTTACGTTAAATCACATTTTAAAGTGAAAGCTATAACTTAAAATAGATTTACGTTTAAGGAGATTTGATGCAATGCAAACCCGCTTATTTTCAAATGCTAATAAAATTTATTGAATTGTTCGAGTAAACTGCTAATATAATAGAACAACAATGAATTCAATGACCATATTCAATGTTTACAATGTCAATTCAAGTATACAGTACTGTTTTGACAATTTTCTTTGATCTGGTCCATATGATAATTTTTTAATGGTGCAACAGTAGGTTTTCTCTCAGGGGATATGATTTGAACATTTTACATATCTTAGTAATGCAATGATTACATTATCAGAACTTGCACCTAATTATGCGTTCGTATCTTTTTGTCTTCTTCATAATTAAGTAACTTCTAGCCCTATAGCCAATATTTTTGTCTCTCAGCCTTGGAAAGAGGGTATCTGTAGCATTTGACTCTGTTATGCCCTACTATTGTCACGTGAATTGTATATACTTAAAGCATGAATGATGACTCTTAATTATTAGTATTTGTTATGATAGTTGAATCAGTCACTCATAATAACTCATTAAAATGTTTAACACTGATTTTTTATATAAAAAATGATTTTTTTTGTCAGTATACTTCATGATTGCAATTGTATAATGTTAGTCTGGAAGAGGAGCCACTAAAGCCATAAAGATTGTATTAAAATGACATTGTCTACCAAATTCTCCCTACACCCTAGTCTCTGATGTGTAGCACAAAGCAGATAACAGTACTTTTCGTTTTTTATTTCCAGTGTGAACTTCACCACAAAGTACTTGATCACATGTTGTTTGACCATTCCTCACTACCCTTAACCCGCTTTATTACTTGCTGACCAGTCATTGCCCTCAGGACATTGGCATTTAAACACTCCTGGTTCCTCAAATATCCCACTATATAATTCCACTTCAGGAAGGCAAGCTACATCTCTAAGCAACAAACTTTGACAACCACAGTTCACCACTGACATGGAACCCAAGTTCAGAGTCAATTGTCGCAGAAATGAGTTCCCTCCAACCAGTGGTACTCATTTGCCAGAGAGCCCAAGAGTACCAATGGAGTTTCTGTCAAGATCATGGAGTGCCTCTGCCTTTGAGGTCTCTAAAGCCCTGGCACCTCAACCTTCCCCACCTCCTTCTTCTTGCATAGCTTCCAAGCCTGCTAATGGGTCCTCTTGCATGACTAATTCCATTCTTGAAGAAACTAACCAGTTCTCTTTTGCTTCCTCTGCTACTTCACAGCTTGTCCTTGAGCGCATTATGTCACATTCAGCAAGAGAGGTGTTTAGTGTTTAGCATATCAATTATATTTTTGGTTCTTTACAAGGGAAAGACTTTGTTTTTCTTTATGTCATTCAATCTTGGTTTTAAAATCATTTCATGTGTGATGTGTGTGACAGGAAGTGTCTCCATTAACATCAGGTAGATTGTCTCACAGTAGTGAACCTTTGAATGGTGGTGCTTCTTTAACCGGAACAGATAGTCCGCCAATTTCTCCTTCTGATGAGTTTGACGATGTTGTCAAGGTATATTTCTGTTCCTTTCCCTTCTTTTGGACAGGGGTGGGGCCCTGAGGAACAGGAGGTTGGTGAAGTGACCATACTGTTGCACTGAACAGTTGTTTCTCACTACTGCATAGCATTTTTTGTCACTATTGTATTCCCTTGTTTTGCTTCTTCCTCCCGTAAGTCCCCTTGCCAACCTCACTCTTTGAATCCCATGCTTTGGTTCCTAGGACTACCTGCTACTACTAATTTATTGTTTTAATGTGGAAAACACTGTTTGCTTTTTGTCTGGTCTTACATAAGAGAAATAAAATATGTAAAAGAATTTACAAAAGAAAGGAACTTGAGGGTCCCAATAGATTCACCTGCCTGTCACGACTCATTTTAGTTCCCATGGCTGCATGGAAGAAATATCTGCGTTCATACCTACTCAAAAATATTTTGTCCCATCTTGGTGCTTACTGCTAAAAGGGTTTTCCATGAGAGTGAGGATCACCTCTACTTTATTTTCCACTACCTCATCAAAAGAGGGAGCTAGAGCCTAAAGTTCTGGGAGGGGTTATGACTTTTAGTTAAAAAGATTAAAATTTTGAACTTTGGAGATGACTTTTGGATGGAAACGGGTGAGTGTTGAAGTGGGTAATGACGCATGCACGTTTTTGTTACTGATCAAATGTGGAGACATGGTTTCTTCCAGTTACTTGCCTGCTTGCTGAGTGTTTCAGAACAGGACAAGGAGTTTGACACTTTGACTGTCCAGTGTACCTTGTCTCTGTATTCACGCAACCAACCTTCTCATTTTGGCATTTTTTTCTTGGTAGAGGGAAAAAGTTTAATTTGGCTTTTACTAGAAAGAAATCAAAGCATCAAGGTGGCACAGGAAATATTGATAGGATAAATATGTGTCTATTTTTCTTGCCTTCAACATAAGAATGATGAAATGAAAACATGACATGGAAGCTGATAAAAATAAATGAACACTAGAAGAAATGGTAAGGAAAAGACATGCATGTCAGTGATTTATAAGTGGCAGTTGGCTGACAAGGAAACCGGAATAATTGAATATTGTCAGCATTTTTTTTCTTTTGAGATGGAACAATTTTAAAATGTTAAATTAGTACAAGGATGGAGAATCCGAAAAAGGATTTACAATGCTAGGCTTCATCAATCTGTTGCAGTTTTTTCGGGCAAACAATTCCATTCACCCCTTATTCAATGGTGGACGAACCATGAGTGCTGCTTCAGGCAATGCCACTCCTAGTTCCGGGCCTAAAACAGTGGGAAGATGGTTGAAAGACAGAAGAGAAAAGAAGAAAGAAGAAAACAGAACCCACAATGCTCAACTTCATGCTGCTATTTCTGTTGCTGCGGTGGCAGCAGCAGTTGCAGCCATCACAGCTGCAACAGCAGCCTCATCTGCACCTAACAAGGATGAAAAGATGGCCAAAACAGACATGGCTGTGGCTTCTGCAGCCACATTAGTTGCTGCTCAATGTGTAGAGGCTGCTGAAGCAATGGGAGCTGAGAGAGATCACCTTGCTTCTGTGGTTAGCTCTGCTGTGAATGTCCGTTCTCATGATGATATCACAACACTTACGGCTGCAGCTGCCACTGGTACAGTTTTATGCATCCATTGGGGACAAATGTCCTATAATAATATAAAGTTTATTATTATTATTAAGAAACCATTAAGCTACTGCTGTTAACCAAAGTTGATTCACAGTAAAAGATCTATTCATTATGTTATTGACTTGACCATAAAAAAAGGCTAATTAAGTTGCTTTAACAGTAAAGAATCAACTAGGATCTGTAGTTTCATTTGTTGATGATCGGTCGCTTAGTACCATAAGGAACATTTTTGTACTCATGGATAGTGAGAGGTAGTCCTGTTTTCTACAATATTTCTTTGTATAGCCTAGCCACTTGAAGGATGTTACCTTTATATATGCAGCTCTACGAGGGGCAGCAACCTTGAAAGCAAGAGCAATGAAGGAAGTGTGGAATATCACTGCAGTGACACCACTAGAGAGAGGCATAGGGATTGGAATATGTGGTGGTAAAGGCAATAACAGCAATTCCAGCACAAGTGATAGTGGGGAGATTATCAATGGAGAAAATTTTTTGGGTGCCTGCAGTCAAGAGCTCCTTGCTAGGGGCACTGAATTACTCAAACGGACCCGCAAAGGTAATTTCAGTAACATATGCAACTACTAAATATTTTGGCACTAAGTCTGAATTTTTTCTCTCATTTGTAAAAAGATTAAATTCCATTTTGGTGATAAATGTAGGTGATCTTCATTGGAAAATAGTTTCTGTTTATATACATCGAACCGGCCAGGTAATTTTCTTTCAAAAGTTTATAGCAGATGGAATTGAGTACATGTCCATTCGTCACAATCCTTGCAACCATTCAGGTGATGCTGAAAATGAAGAGCAGACATGTTGCCGGAACCATTACAAAAAAGAAAAAGAGTGAGCTACTGGCCTAGATGTTGTGTTAAATGGGTCTACATATTACCTTGTTTTACTCATAATCTTATGCTCTTTAATGGACAGATGTTGTGTTAGATGTGTGTACAAATTTACCGGCATGGCCAGGAAGGCATCTGTTTGATGATGGTGAAAAGAGAAGGTATTTTGGATTGAAAACAGAAGCAAGAGGGATTGTGGAGTTTGAAAGTAGAAATCAAAGAGAATATGATATCTGGACTCAAGGGGTTTCAAGACTTCTTTCCATTGTTGCACAAAGGCGAAACAGAAATAGGACATGAGGCTTCACATCTAATACTAATTGCCAAAAGAGTCTCTTGTTACTGCTGATTATTCAAACTATATGTATTTAGCTGTATTTCTCAACTCTTTTAAACAAAATCTAATGGATTTTGAACTTAGGATTGAAGATACTATGTGACTAGTTTGAGATTTTCTTTTCCCTTTTGGCTACAATGCATCTACCAAATCCCCTAGAGGCTAGGGTTAATCTCTCCATTGTTATACATTATCATGGATAAACATTTCTTTTTGGCTCAATCTTGAAGGATTTTTTTTTGGATAATAGGGAGAAGGATTCTCTAGCTTTTGGTGGAAATCCAAGCTATCACATATACATTCTTTATTACAAATTTTTTTCTTTTGGAAGTTGTTTACGGTGAAAAATTTTCCTTACCCCAAACACAAGTGTATATGAAGAACCAATAAAACGTTTTTTCTTGGTTCTTGTCCAGAATATTAAGCCGTTTTTGTTTGAAGGGTGTGATAGAAAACAGTTTAAGAAAGGTTATAGAAGGATTAGGCAAGAACGTTGCTAAAATAACAAAATCGAAGTTGGGAATTAAATGAATAGTACTTTTTCATTAGAGTAATTGATGGGAATAGTGAAGATTCATTAGATAGTTGAAGCAACAAAAGACAAAGAAACTTTAGATGGTTTTGTCTATATGAAATGCAATCTCCAAATGAAAGTTCTCAATCCTTTTCTTTTAATAAACTTATAAAATACTCAACAAAGAAAACCATGTTAGAGAAATGCCTCCTTGTTTAATAAGACAAAATCTAGACAAAGGAGATCATACAAAACTTACCTTTTATATTGGCAACTCAGAAATGAAGAAATTTATCTGCTATGATGAAAAGAAATTCCAATCCCAATTTTACAAAATGGTTTGACTTCAAGTTTGGCAAAGTTTTAATGTTGGACGTGACTTACAACAACGAAATCGCCTTTCCTAAGGACCATATATGAACACTACGGTCTGTTGGCACGCATTATAATACAAAAAATTATTGTTATCTATGATCATACACAAATTATGATATGGCATCAGATCAGTTCAGATATGATACATATATAGCATCCGATTGGACAATGCAACAATTCTGAACATTAATATTAGAAATATTAATTTAAATATATTTTTCATTCTTATAATTTATCTCAATTTTAGTTTTCATTCTTATACTTTCAAAATTTGATTTCTTGTTCTTATAATTTTATATATTTAGACTTTCATCCTTATATATTATTTTTTTTTAGTTGCTTTAATATACTAGCCATTGGTCCAAATGTTTCTTATTATACATATGTTTTAATATATTATTGATAATTGAGACTAAAACTAGAATTTTAAAAATTTTAATCATAAAAGTTAAAATTGTTGAAATATAAAAATGAAAACTAAAATTAATAAAAATATAAAAAAAATTATAAGATTTGTCATGCATAAAATATGCAATAAAAATTCAAAACATAATAAATATATTGATAAAAATGATAAATTTTTATTATAGCGTTTCTAACACATCCAAATCTTCTGTATTTTTTGCAATAACTACGGTCTTTAGTTTAAATTCATTTAAGCAAAAAATTATTCACTTAAGAAGGTTTGATAAAAAGTAATTTTTATCTAAGTTAAAAAATTCATGTAAGCTAAAATTGTAAAAAAAAAATTAATTTTTTTCTTTTTTAATAAATTTAGTTTTTGCCAAAAGTGCAGAAGATCCACATGCTTTAACTTGTAAGAACATACTTTATTGTATAGATATAGGAAATAAAACTCAAACCAAAGAAAAAGAGTTACCTTGTTTAGTAAATCCTACACAAATTTCATTTAATAATGATGTTTTAGAAATAATATATTAGTGAATGTATTAGTATACTTTATATTATTAATTTAAAAAATTCAGACTAGGAGAAAATTACAGAAAAGGGAAAGGAATATATAATGTGATTCGCCTTTAAAATTGAAATTTAACCATTATGTCTTTATTTAATAAAATTGCAACGCACCTTACTTTGCTTCCTGCTTTCATTCTCTGCTTTTTAGCTTTTGCTTCTTTTTTTTTTTTTACCCATTTTCTTCTATATTCATTTTCTACCATTTCCTCTCTTTTTTCTTCTTTATCATATCATTCATCACGGGTTTTTTTTTATCTCTTTTTTCATCTGCAGAACACCATTTAACAATTGAAATAAAGTGTGAAGGAATCAAGGAGGATGACACAATCTTATCAGTTATCAGTTGATGATAAGGGGGTTATGTGTTTGAAAGTATGGTGCATTAGGGATGTGCATTCTTTTCGGTGGTGAATCAAGTTCTGCGATTATGGTTTGCAAAACTAAATTGGATTCCATTAGACATGGTGATTGAATGATGGCCTCAAATCAATCATTGAAAAAAAAAAGGTCAAAACTATACATGTAAAGATTTGGCCAGTCAGAATGCATGGATAACAATAGGTGCCGTGTCCAACAGGATAAGGAACACAGTTGTGCGAGACGGCTAAAGTACAAAACAAAATCTTATTCGCAACGTATGTGCATTCACCAAGACACATAAGAGTCACTAGCCGTATCGACGAAGCATGGTATCGAGGCCGCAATATGACATTTTCTAAAGGTTCAATCGCATCGATTGTAGCTGCTACTTCGCTGCAATATTGCCAATTGCAATACAACTATAACCGCGATTAGGCCGCAACGAATTTACACAGCTTTAATAAATAATTATAATGCAAATTTCACAAGTTCAAGCTTTGCGGCCAGAGTGGTGGACCGTTACACATATATGTACCAATCGGTATAGATAACAAGCTTAACCACGAAGTAATGCTCACAAATAAGGAAAGGAAAAGTCGTAATTGTATTTACAATCAAGTGCCAAATTTAATCGTTAATCAACTATTTTATCAACAGCTTTGACAATAATCCATTGTGTAAAAGACATCTAGCAACAGGGCAAGCCCAAAAATTTATTAATTGATAACAATTTGTTTTTCTGAACCCACCCTCGTCCCCCACGGAAAGTAAATAATGTGCCAATGCAAGGAACGGAATATATGACACAATGATCTCAATTTTCAGCAGCTCTAAAAATAGTAAGGAGAGACAGGAAGAGGTTGATGATGTCCAGATACAAGGCGACCGAAGCCCAAATGAATTCATCGTAGGAGTATCTCTTGATCAGGTTGTCTGTATCATATACTATGTAGCCACAAAATATAATGGCTGCCAAGCACCCATAAATCATCACAGACACCTTACCCAGTGGAAAGAGAAGCTGCAAGGAAAGGAACACGCCATAAGAATTTAACCAAAACAATTACAACGGTATAATACATATGAAGTAACAATGTTTGAAAATCAAAATAATACCTGTATCAGCCCAAAGACCATGAGTACTAGCACAGCACCGAACAGGAAGGGGCCAAGAAAGTTGAAGTCTTGGCCTCTCCTTGCCGCCCAAAATGTGTAAAGAGTAAGACCGATCACCACCACAGCCGTCAATATGACAGCTTCCAGAATAACTTTCTCTGAAACAAATATCCACTCTCATTAGATAAAATTCAGGAGCATACACAAGTAGGCAATTTTCACTGAAAAATGCAACTTAAATCAAACAAAGTGGCACATGCCAAAATCGACAAGCGAAAAAAGTCCTAACATGTGACAACAAAGATCTCAAATTTGTTTTTTGGCTGATGGTTTTATTCCCAATTGCAGAAATGGTAGTTCCATTGACTAATAAGTAATAACAAATACAGCAATTTCAGGAAATAATCCAATCCCGTACTCAATGTCTCAATTCCATTCTCAATGAGAGGAAGTAACGAGTAGGTCAAAACCTAAGAATCCCAATGCAACCACGGAAATAAGTTTTTGACACATAACCTAGACATTCTCCAAGTCCTTACACAAAACAAACACTCATTGGTAATTTGGTATTTGCTAACAACCCAACATGACAAACGTGCCCCAGAATCCCTAATTGTATATCAACTATCAAGACGAATCCCAATACATAAATGCAATTCTCTTTCGTCCATTGTCCCAAACTAGAATCACAAATCAAAGTCTACATTTTGACCAAGCAGACAATCCTCAACTTCTATGTTCAACAATTAAAACAACATAAACCATAAATTAGTCTTTTTTTTTTACTAAACACAATGATAAATTGATCCTAAATTGAAACCAAATAACCAGCACAACAAGGAAAAACAAGTTATTAATTATCTCACTTAAAATCAAAATAACGAAAATTATATTATATTTTTTAAAAAAAGAGGTGACAATGATTCTTACCGCTAGTAAAAGCGCAACTCAATCCAATGACAAATCCAAGAGAAATAGTGAAAACCCCGAGGAGTAGGTAATTGATGGGATGCTTCTGGTAATAACTGTAAAGCGGACACAACGCTGCAATTGCAAGCAAAATCAGCACAAAAAGAAAACGATCGTTAGAGAAAAATAGAACACGAAGCAAATGACGGAATCTGAAGCAATTAGGATAAGAGACGCACTGATAAAGGGGACAAAAATGAGGACGATGTAGAGAGCCAAGCCGGCGCCGGTGGTGGCGAAGAATAAGCTGATGGGGCGAACGGTGACGACGATGGCGCCGACCGCGATGGTTACGAGCAACTGTATAGCGATGATGGAGTAAACTTTTCGGATGAAGGCCCACCGCAATTCGGGGCTCTCAAGCATCATCGGGTACAGAGGCCTCGCCCCGCTCTCCAAATCCGTTTTCCCGAAGGGCTGGTTCCACATCTTGCCGTGAAGATTCTTCACTCAGAAAGTGAGAGAGAGTAAGGGAAAATGCAAAGAAAATATTTAGGGCTTTCGATCTTTGCTATGTGCGTGGAACGTGGATGTGATTGTTTTTGCGGGAGTTGTTAATATACGAACTACCACCACGACCCTCTGGTCAGTCATCAATGCTTATATTTATTTTTATTTTTTTACGTGTACAACGTTGTAGATAATAAGTAATTATAGCTAATTTTTTCTTAATTAAGATATTTTACTTTTACAAAATTTATATAGTTTGAATTTAATTTCAATAAAAAATTTGGTTACTTTGTTAGTATCAATAGAGCCCTTCACAACAATCAACATAGTTATTACTTTAAAAAAATTATGCAATTTTTATAGTTAATAAACACTTAATTAAACTATAATTTTTTTAATAAAAGTTAAAAATGTAATATAATTTAACTTAAAAATATTATTAAATATTATAATATATAATTATTTTTATTATTTGTTAAAAAAATTTATCATGTGGAAGATTAGATAAATAAAAAAATATTTATTTAATTAATTAATTAAAAGAAACTTCGTGAGACATCGCATGCTTTCCACGATTGGGGAAACATGAAACAAGGTCGTTGTTACACGTGGATTGCTACCTGATTGACGCGTGTACGGTGGAAATGTTCTAGATTCCTCCAACGGTGATTAGCCAACTTAGAGTAACTTAACGAATTAGGTTTGGTGGGGTTTGTATTAATATTAAAGACTGCATTCGCCCTTGCGAGAATATGTAAGAATATGCCTCTTTTTCTTTTTCCATCCTTTCATTTTTTGGGTCAATCCTACATTTGTTTTCAAATTATTGAAAAATAAAAAGAAATGAAGTGAAAATTGACAACTTCAAAATAATAATGTTCTATGTATGAAAAGGGTGTTTATTAATTATTATTATTATTATTAAATGGGACCAAAGAGCCAAAAATAAAAGGAAGAAGAATAAACTATAGCTAACAAAGCAGAGAGTGAGTCGGAACTGTCTGGACAGATTTTTTTTATTGCCAAATCGATTTGGGTCGTTGCAAAATAATGAATGAGGTCAAGTTTTATTTATTATTCTTTTAGTTTAAAAAAATTAAGCAAGTTGACTCCAAAAGTTACATTTATTATGTAACAAGTAACAACTAATAGACATTATCTTGCATTTTATACGATCATACGCTTTACTTTGCATCTCAATTTTGGAGGTATTCGATAGCATTAACCATTAAGGTTTGATTAGTTTAGCCATGAAAATTATCCAAAATTTGCTTTATATGAAATTAAGTATTTCAATTTTGAGAGTAGTTATCTTGAAATGCGTGTTTTGTTGTATTATTCTGAAGTGTGTAAAAAGAAATCGATGAATAAACCAATTAAGAATAAGATTCTTACTCCAAACTCAATCATGAAAAATGCAAGCCTAAGATGTATTAATTTTAAACAATACAAAATTTTCACTTCAATTCTTAAAATTTACAAATTTTAATCATGATACTATTTAAATATGTGACGTTTCAGTAATTTTTTTTTATTTAAGGTATAAAATTGCAATTTTCTCAAACTCTAAAAAGTCAAAGCTTGAGATTAATTTCTACTCAATGTTTGTAATTATTTATTGTTTAAAAGAATCTTACACATGTTAAATTTTAAATATAATATCTTTTATAAAATAGACCAATCACATGCATACATAATACTTTAATATTTGAAAAGGTTAACATTACTAGCATTTATAATTTATAAAAAATAAATAAATATTTATATTATTAAAAGGGCAAATAAAATAAATTTTTAAAAAATAACTTGGCTACTACTCTAAAAATAATATATTATCTCCCGTGATTTCAATGTTTATATTATAAATAAAGTATTAATTTAGTTTAAAATTTTATTTTTGTTAATTGATTTAATGCTTAGTATTATACTACTAGTTAATTTAGTATTTATAATTGTTTTTTCAATCAATTCAATTCAATTCTTAATTTGAATATAAGTTAATTCAATTTTAATACTAAAGATCAAATTAATTAACAACACACTAAAAATTAGTAATCAAATTGATTAATAGTTGTCAAAATGAAAGATGAAATTAATAAACTTAAAATTCAGAAATAATTGATAACTACTAATTTAAAATGTTAAGATTTATTTTTCATAATTTTAAAAATTGAATACAATATTTATAACTTATTTAGTTTTCTCATTTACATGATTAACAATTTAAATGTCTATAACAGACATTCTATATAACTATAACAGCTATTTTTTAATTTGCATGCATAATTAATCATTATATATTTTTGTGATAAAAAGTACTTCACGTTCTTCTGTGTTGTTTTTTTCGTTTGTACTCCTCCATCTGTGGCTCATTTATTTATTTTTATAAAAGTAATAATAATTGATATCTTTATATATTTAATGAAATTATTATATTAATAATGCAAATCACAAATCTAGATGTTAAAAATGCGTGCATCAATTGTTAAATTTGAACTTTGTACACACAAAATACGTTGTATATGATAACATGAAAGCATGTTTTAGTTTGATAGCAAATCAATCACCTAAAAAGCAAAAGCATGTCTAACGCAAAAGTAAAAAATGGTGGTCCACTGCATATGCAAAAACAGTGTTAGATAGCCATGCAAGAACTTTGTTTTCATGCCAATGGGTCACAACATGTGGAGAACCAAAGATAAATGACAACAACAATGTCCAAATCAAAATGTGGATTCTTCACACAATCCTTTTAACTTATTCTCGGATAACTATCTTCTGTGCAACTTTCGTAAACAACAAAAAACTGAAAACCATGAGAGTGAATTTCTATTTACATGTACGGAGTATTTTGTTTTCCTTAGGATTATCTCATAGAAATTGGTCATCCATTTGTTTATTGTTCTATTTTCTCTTATAAATGTAACGACATCAATGTCCAATTTACCATAACATTGCTTTTATTCTCATTCTTTTAAACATTTTTTAATATTATTTTTTAAAATAAATTAAAACCCAGTTTAGATAATTTTGTATAAAAAATGTTAATATAAAAAATAATAAAACTTTTTTCATAATTTAAAATAATTTATGAGTAATCTAACGACTTTTCTAAGATTTTATAGAATGAAGTGCCAGAAATTGTAATCTCTCTCTCTAGTCATGACTCTTCCCCACCCTTTATGAGACCCACATCTACTCAAACACAGCACTACACCCTCTGTTCATCTTGCTTAGACCTTAATGCATGTGGCTGCTAGCTAAATCATGAACTTGGATGCTAGTCATCACATCACAAATAATCTTGGTCACTATACCTAACAAATTGGTACATGCACACAATCAACTAATTATTTGCTGATGCTTCTGCCTTAAACACCACTCACATTAATAAAATTAGTGTTGAACTAGGGATAGGAAATCTATTCATCTGATTCAATATAGTTAAAATAAAAATGTTCTAACTACTTTAGTTTAGCTTGTAAAATTTCAGGTATATATTATTTGGAAGAGAGTTTTGAAGGAAAAAAGAGATTAAGACATACTTTTTAATTTTAAAAAATATTAATTTAAAATATAAATTTTGTTTTTCTCAAATAATTTTGTTCCTTTTTCTTCTTCTTCTAAAACTCCATTCCCAAACAATAAGAAAATTAGCAACTCAAGAAAGAACAGATCGAACTTTTAAAAATCTCAAGAACAAAACTTCCTAAAGTTATTTATATGTATGAACTTCCGATATATTTTCAATTAGTTTTTCAGTATGTTTGATTGTACACTTCTACTCATTAAGAAAAGGTTTGATGTCTCCATATAATTTCCAATTCAAGTATTTTTCATTTGGGAGGGGGAAATCAGTTACTAATTGTTTCCCCAATTGTTTCAAGTCTCTTGTGATAAAGAGACAGTATTTTAAAAGTGCAATTTAATCATTAAACTAATAAAAAAGTAATTCATGAGCCATTAGTTTGACCATGGTCAAATTAACAACATTTAAATATACATTTTAAATACTATGTAATAATTTAACTAATAAATTGCCATGAAAAAAACATAAAAATGAAATTAAGTAAAATTTATAATTAGCATACAATAACCATGTCATATGTTCCTTAAGACAAAATAAATATTAAAAAGCAAAAGAGACATTTTAAATTTTCTTTGAACTTATAAAAATTAATTACAGTCAATAATGGGTTAAACCTGAAGTTAATATGTATTTTTTAAAAAGATTATCCACAACGAGTAAGTGAAATCGAGTCTGACTTTAGTTATGGTAATTATTAAAAAAAATTGTAATAAAATTCTTGGTTTAATATTTTTTTAAAATAAAAAAAGGACACAGACGAAAAAAATTGACCCAACCTGGTTAATGTAATTAATTTCATTAAAATATAAGATTTGATATACACAATTTTTATTTTTTACATAAATTAATTCGATTTATTTACCAGTAAATTATGAGTTTAGAGTTTTATTTTATAATCAGAATAAAAAGTGAATTTTTACTTGAATTAAAGTTTTAATTAAGCAGTTGATTAAATATTCGAATTTATTATTATTATTATTATTATTATCTCTAACGTCTAATATTAGTGAAAAAAAAAGGTTATAATCAGGCTCACGAGAGTTGAGAAAAATACTCCTTTTTTTCGTCTCTAAGTTTTAAATTACTTTTCATCATTATAAAATTTTTTTTATGTATTTACTTAAAAAAATATATTTAAAAGAGCCAAAACTGAAAGAATAAAACAAGACATCGTTTTCAGAATATTGGGGCGTTTTTCATTGGCATTGGAACATGACTGCGTAATATCTGGCATACTCCTCTTTTTTATGCTTCAATTGTTTCATTTCTCGTTTTTTCACTTTCAATCCACCAAATTCAAACTTTTTCTTTTTCGATTTTGGACTTCCAACCAACAGTGCCTTTAACAACTTCTATGCTCTCCAACTCCAATGGAAGCAACTAAAGAAAGAAAAAGTTATTCACTTTCCCTTTCACCAAACTGAGGGGAAAAAAGAAGAAGCAAAAGTTAGTTAAAGTAAAAATTTTTCTGTTAGATTCCCCTCCACTTTGATCTCTTTGGCCCTCTTCCCCTGCTGCAAATCCTTCATTGGTTCTGCAGATTGAAGTCACAAGTGAATTTTCTCTCTCTCTCTGACATTTTATGCGCTGATTTGGATGAATCAGCTATACTGTAAGTGGTCACTGTTTTTATTTGTGTGTGTGCGTGTGTTGGAATCTTTCGTGGCCATTTTTCTATATATTCCTTGGTTTATGCTGAGCTGAAGGGAGTATAGAGTAGGGTGGAATTGTTGAATGCTTTTCCTTTTTCCAGGAATAAAAATCTTGAATTTGATTTTGTTAGTGGGGATAACCCATTAATCTTTTTTCATTTTTTCTGGGAAAGACCGTTGTTTTGAGATTGACTATTCCGTTTCTTCTAAAAGAGGGACACAAAGGAAAAAAAAGAAGAAAAGAAGTGATTTTGCTTTCTGGGGTTGGGAATATTTGAATTGAAGGTCGTGTAATGTGACCTGCAGGTAGAGGCTACTGTTTTCTCTTTTGGTAGGTCTGCTCCTTTTATTTGACCCCAATTTGTAAAAGTTTAATTTTGAGGAGGAAGCATTATAGTGGAGATCTGGGACTTGTTTCGTCTCTTATGCCCTATGAAGACTTTCTTTACTGCAGAATCCTGTAAAGAAGCACACCCTAATGCTTTAAATCCACAGTCCTGGCTCCAAGTTGAAAGGGGGAAGCTTCCCCAATTGTCATCATCCCAGTCCTCCACTGCATCAATGTAAGTTTCTCTCTTCAACATTTTTAATTCAAAGCTTAACTTTTAGCCAATTCACTGAATTTAGTTGTTTGGTCATTGGTGTTAATTGCTATAGAGAATCTCTGATCAAGGTCCCGCAACCACCTATACTTCCATTCTTTAAACCTGTTGATTATGTGGAAGTTTTAGCCCAAATCCATGAAGAACTTGAGTCGTGTCCTCTGCAGGAGCAGTCAAATCTGTTTTTGCTACAATACCAGGTCTTTAGGGGCCTTGGGGATGTTAAACTAATGCGCAGAAGCCTCCGGTCAGCTTGGCAGAGAGCAAACACTCTTCATGAGAAAATTATTTTTGGGGCATGGTTGAAGTATGGGAAGCAAGGGGAGGAACTAGTTGCTGACTTGCTCACGGCTAGTGGTAAATGTGAAAAGGAATCTGGGCCCATAGATATAGAATCTCATATTCCTTTTGGTATGAATGTAAATTCCCAGGAGAGAGCTGCGATGAATGGGAACCTCACTTCACAGTATGTTACTTTTACTATCGGAAATGAGAAGATAATCTGTGATAGACAGAAGATTTCTGAACTTTCAGCACCATTTCATGCAATGCTAAAGGGGTATTTCAGGGAATCACTTTCTGAGACTATAGATTTATCTGAAAACAATATCTCTCCCTCGGGTCTGAGGGCAATAAATTCCTTTAGCTTGACAGGCAGTTTACCTGATGTCCCTTCAAATCTTTTGTTGGAGATATTAGTTTTTGCAAACAAGTATTGTTGTGAAAGACTAAAACAGGCTTGTGATAGAAGACTTGCATCCTTAGTTTCCTCCAGAGAAGTTGCAGTGGAACTCATGGAATATGCTCTTGATGAGAATTCTGCTGTCCTTGCTGGGTCTTGTTTACAGGTCCTTTTACGTGATATTCCCAACTGCTTGAGTGATAATCAGGTGGTGGAGTTATTTATTCATGCTAATAGGCAACAGTTGGCAGTCATGGTTGGACCTGGCTTATTTGCACTTTTCTGTTTCTTAAGTGAAGTTTCTATGAACCTTAATTCTAGTTCAGACACAACAGCTCATTTACTGGAACGGTTAGTTGATTTTGCTGAAAATGACAAGCAGAGACTGCTGGCATTTCATCAGTTGGGATGTGTTCGACTCTTAAGAAAAGAATATGATGAAGCCTATTGTCTTTTTGAGAGGGCTGTAGATGCAGGTCATATTTATTCTGTTGTGGGTTTAGCTAGACTGGACTCTATAAAGGGAGAGAAGTTTTTATCTTATGAGAAGATCAGCTCAGTCATTTCTTCTGTTACACCACTTGGATGGATGTACCAGGAAAGATCACTATACTGTGACTGTGATTTGAGGTGGAAAGACCTTGAGAAAGCAACTGAACTGGACCCTACTCTTGTATATCCCTACATGTATAGGGCTGCCTCATTAATGAGGACAGAGAATGTTCAAGGTGCACTGGGTGAAATCAATCGGATTCTTGGCTTCAAACTTTCATTAGAGTGCCTGGAACTACGGTTTTTTATCTATCTGGGCCTTGAGGACTACAAAGCAGCTCTCCGTGATGTTCAAGCAATTCTTACCCTGTGTCCATATTATAGAATGTTTGAAGGGCGTGTGGCTGCATCTCAGCTCTGTACTCTTGTGCGTGCACATGTTGACCATTGGACAACGGCAGATTGTTGGGCACGATTATATGACTGTTGGTCTGCTGTAGATGATATTGAGTCTCTATCTGTTATCTACCAGATGCTTGAATCTGATGCAGCAAAAGGTGTTCTATACTTCAGACAGTCATTGCTTCTCCTCAGGTATATTATGAATGTTTGATATCTGTTTTGCATAGTTGTAATAAATCCGTCATGCCAAAGCAATGTGTCATTTTTGTTGTTTTTGGACCAATGATGGATATTTTGTGAATAAAAGTTACTTTTACTGCCGTACTCTAGTTAATTGTAAAAGGATCTTAATTCTATGTAACTTCACCATTGAACCATATAGAGAATCTGGCGCGGTAATTGTTGTTTCACATATACATGTATTGAATCATGCTGTGAGTATCATAACTAAAAGAATAGGTAAATAATAGCTGTTTTTAATCTTGTTATCTATATATGTAGAATTCTATGTTCATTTATAAGTCACTACTCTGTCAATTAACATGACTGCAAAGGAGGGAATACCCACAACATAAAATTTTATCCTTTGACACCTAAGTTTGCCCTGTGGAAGAATATCTGGAAATGCAGATTCCCCTTCTTCAGGATACTCTTTCTTGTATTCTAATTCTAATGCTGACAGGAACTTATGTACACTAAGGAGTCTATAAATCTTACATTTATTTATAGGTTAAACTGTCCAGAGGCTGCTATGCGGAGTTTACAGTTAGCTTGGCAACATGCATCAAGTGAGCATGAAAGACTTGTATATGAGGGGTGGATCTTGTATGATACAGGTCATTATGAGGAAGGGCTCCAAAAAGCTGAAGAGTCTATTAGTATTAAGAGGTCTTTCGAGGCCTATTTCCTGAAGGCGTATGCATTGGCTGACTCTAGCATAGATTCATCATATTCTTCAACTGTTATTTCACTTTTGGAAGATGCCTTGAAGTGCCCTTCTGATAACCTGCGCAAAGGTCAGGTATGGTTCTTCAATTTGTATCACATTTTGGAAATATTTTCTTAGTCAACAACCGGTAACTCAAATCATATCTGTATAGATATGCTACTTTGGCTACCAACTATCAGCTTCTTGTTTTACTATTGTTTTCTTCCATTTAATTGACCAGGCCCTAAACAATCTTGGAAGTGTTTATGTTGATTGTGGGAAATTGGACTTAGCAGCTGATTGCTATATCAAAGCCCTTAAAATCCAGCACACCCGTGCCCATCAGGGCCTTGCTCGTGTTCATTTTCTAAAAAATGATAAGGCTGCTGCATACAAGGAAATGACCAATCTTATTGAGAAAGCAAAGAACAATGCATCGGCCTATGAGAAAAGGTCTGAGTATGGTGATCGTGAACTCACAAAGGCAGATCTGGAGACGGTGACTAGATTAGATCCACTTCGGGTGTATCCTTATAGATATCGGGCGGCAGGTTGATACTTTACTTGTTTCTCACCTGCATAGACATAAGAACTTGCTCTATTGATCAGCTCAACTATTACAAACTTGTATGTTAAAATTTCAAAATATTGTATATTCATTATTATTGTCGCTGTTGTGGATGCTATAGCTGTAGTCAATTTACTCATATCATGGTATTGCAGCTGTATTTGATATTGTTGATAATATGTATATGGTGTATGGTTGCAGTTTTGATGGACAGCCATAAGGAAGAGGAAGCTATTGCGGAACTCTCTAGAGCAATTGCATTCAAAGCTGATTTGCACCTTTTGCATCTGCGTGCAGCATTCCATGAACACAAGGGGGATGTCCTAGGTGCACTAAGAGACTGTCGAGCTGCACTCTCAGTAGACCCAAACCATCAAGAAATGTTGGAACTTCACAGTCGAGTTAATAGCCATGAGCCCTGAATCAAGAACATGATTTTTGTGAGATGGAAATGCAGTATACCTGTGGCTGGCAGAAAACTCCTAGGCACTTGAACCTCAGCCACACTACAAAGAATGAAGAGGGACCCGGCATTTTTGCAACAGCCATCAGCAATCACAGAAAGTAAATTTGTAAATGGAAGGTATAGTTAAAATGTGAGATGTAACTATCTGTAGACTCTAGTAATGAGCATGTGATGATATTAATCATTTTCATTTTCCCTCCTAAAAGGGTGCCAAAATTTTGTAATTAATATTCTATCTATCATTTGGGGGATCTTATAATATACTGCTTTTCATCCATTAGTTTTTCATTTGTCCCCGGCTAAAGTTTTGGAGTTAATGCTATGCTGCCAAGGCGCATGCTTATTCAAAACCGATAGCACATGCTACTGCCTCTATATTGTGTTCTTCCGTTTTTTTTTTAAGGCAAAACTAGTGATCTAATCCTCCTAACATTATTTTTGGTTTTGAATTTGCCTTATAATTTTTTTATTCAATTTAAACTTCTAATTTTTATTTTTATCTTAAATTATGTCGTCTTGATCCATCTATTTCTGTGTATAGGTCATCAAATGTAGTAAAATTTTAGGACAAAAGTCGTATATTAGTAATGAGTAAAAGCTGTGAAGAAATTTGAATAATCATTGTCAAAATATATAAATTTTATTATTGTAGCAAAAGTAAGTCTTGAAAAATAATGTTTTTATCTCTTATTTTAGTTAATGAAATTATGCAAGAAGTTTGTTGAATTTCAGCATCTTGCAGAATCCCCAATCAATTTTTATAATTGTTAAACAAACTGAGTTTCCAAAAAATGAATTTGATGAAAATGACCTTTTTTTTTTTTTTTAAATACCAATATCTCATTTTAAACATACAATGACTCAATTTTTCTATACACTGTAATACCATATTTAGAGGAATTCCTTGATTAACTTAAACAATTATTGAAGATAAAAATATCAGATATCCAACGAAATTTAATGATATTGTAAAGAACGTTAGACTTGATTACGGTGTTCACAACTTTAAATATAATTTTCGGTTGTACATGATATATAAATAAATTTTATTTAATATACATTGACATACCCCTTGCTTAATTAAAATAATAATAATTGTATTGTACAGTATTGGATACTTAACCAAATACATCCTTCTAAGAGCTTGTATGCAATTGTTAGATTTTTCAACAGCCGCATCCTCTTTACCTAAATGCTTTAGATTTTGGTCCTGTAATCCAATGGAATTTTTGAAAGCTTGACAACTGAAGAAGTCCGTGCCTGATATGGCATCCAACCAGGGCTCATACTCGGCATCTCCGACCGAATTTGTGGCAATCGCTTTTCTAAGCAGAGGCAGTATCGATTTATCCGTAATAGTTTCCTTATGATGAACTTTCATGAAATTGAGGTCCTTATTTAGCATCAACTGCCTTGCTTGGGTCCAGCTTCCATGCACATTATAGACATGCTGTTGATGTTGCCCGTCAGAATTCCACGTTTTTGGATGTCCTTGAAGAGGCAATACTTTCAGAATGGAGTGTGCGCGGAATAGAAGGAAATGGAATGAGGTGATATAATAGTCATTAATAACGAGTCCACCAACCAACTAAAATTAAGGATAATGATGCATTATTCTTCATGTCAAGCCTAAAGAAAAGCCCGGAATATTTAGTTCTTTTTTGTACTATAGTTTGTCATAATACAGGTAAAATCAGCAAAGTTCGCTGAGAACTTGTTTTTTCCATTTCCAGAGGGAGAAGAAAACGAAAAAAAATATTTACAGAACCTGTCATTGATATTGTTTCCGTTCTCTCCCAGATTGTAATATATTTATCACCTCATCCCATAAAAAAAACTACCATCAGAATATCAAGTTTTTTTATATTTCAAAATAAAATATCAAGTATGCAAGGTTCATCTGGTGCTCAGGGTCAGTCCTAGGATTTTGGCAGCTGTTAGTAGTTCATACTTTTGGTACGGTCAGTTATTTTGGCATAAGCTTGTCAGGCTTAATATATGAACGTCAATGTATTTTGTATATACACAACGTACCTTATTCTGCCCCTTTTCACCCCAGCATCTACTTCTGTTTGGTGGAACCAGTTCAGGGACAGAAGATATAGTATGTTTGGTTTTGTGATCAAATGCAAGTGGATCCACATTTACTTCAATGGTACTAGTTGTTGTTTTTGCATTGGATCCATGTTTACAGGTTTTTAGACGTGTTTTCAAACACACGCATACAATTTTAACTATGGATATTCATTCTTTAGGGAGGTATTAAGAAAGTTTTTACTGAGCTTATTTGGATTTATGAAAATGACTTGTGATCCTTACAAACTCTTTTTTAGTTTATTTCAATATGCTTCATAATCAAATTTATGACATAAGTTATTGTGTGATAAAAACGAATTAAATAAGCAAATTGTTTACCCAAATCCAAATGCACTTTAAATTTAATCTTGAACTTACTTCCAATAGAGCCTCATTGATTAGGAATTTTCAAAATCAGTGACATGGTGATCAGACTAATTTACCTGAGAATGAATAAATTAATGTGGATGACAATGCGGTTGTTTCCTTAAAAATCATCCTCTTGGGGTAGGTTGGAAATAGGGGTGTTGCAAAGCCTCATCAATACTTAGCCGATCCTCCTACAGTTTCAACAGAAGCCTTCATTAGATAGAGCACTACCCAACCCTAGCAGTGATTACCATTAGCCGTATCCCGTATCTATTCCCTTCGTCCCCCCCGTGGGGTGGGGGATATATAACAAATTGTAAATTCGAGTAAAAGCTCAACTCATGAACTTAGACAAGAATATTTCAACCAAGTTTGAAAAATAAAACTGTCTCGTACGCATTCATTTCTCTATCAACAGGCTTGTTCACAGAGACTATTAAGAGCCTGTTTGTTCTAGATATTTTTCATGAAAAATCACTTTTAAATATTCTGTCTATATGTTTAAGCTTTTACAAAAAAATGGAAGTCTAAAAAAGACCTAATTATTTTAAGAAGATAATTTGAGTATCTTCTAAAAAAACTAATTATAACTCACTTTTAAAATAAAAATTGCTTTTTTGTAATTGTAACCAAACAAAAAACAACTTACATTTTTCATAAAATCTCTAAAAGTAAATCACTTTTTAATATATTCTTAAAACTATTTAAAAAAAAAAAAAAAAACCTTAAACAAACAGACCCTAAATTGACAGTGGAAAGTGTACTTTGAAAAATGACAAAAACTAATTTTAATCAGGCAACTTACTGGATCCCAGTGTAACAGACGACGCACTAGTCGTAAAGCCCAGATGTTTGAAAAACTGCAAGACTAAGAAAAATATTATAACAGGAAAGCAATTGCAGAAGACTATAGGTATGTCAAAACATGATAAAAGTGAAAGCATCAGAAATACGAGCTAACCCTATTTTCAGAGGATCTCGATTCTTAATTTGATGAGAAAAGAATTCTTCAGAGCATTTCCAGGAAGCAGGTGAAACTCCAACCTACATTGACACGGATGAAAATTTCACTAGGTCAATTTATACTCAAATAAGAAAGTTGGAAGGAGGCATCTTTCCAAGAACCAATATTGTGAAATCCATTTGGCCTAAGGGAATGAAATCCAATAGTGTGATCCATGTGGTTAAAATTGGTGTTTAAGACAAAGATGAACAGATTGCCATGAACATGAGGATATCAAATTATGTTTTATTTCTAGAGAGGAAATTGCGTAAGACAATATATCATATTAGCTATATCTCATCATTTGTAGTAAACTGAATGTTCGTTTCATATTCCTAAAATAGCACAAGGCAATATAGCTGCTACTAGGAAGTTGAATATCAAACCCAGTTATGGAATGGTCCTGCATTGTCATCAAACCCAGTTATCAGACCCAGTTATTTTCTTTGGCATGTGAGAGGATTTGATGCAGGAGATCCTTCTTCTATGCTCCTTTTTTTTTTTTTGTTATTTGTTTCAGTTTGTTTTGTTTTAGTTCTGAACGGTTTTCTGTGTAGTCCCTTTGCTCCTTTTTACAAAGCACCATCTAGTAAGGAAATTATAAATTAAAACTAGCAAGAGAAGAAGCAAATTTTCAGAATTAAAATATTGATAGTGGGGTTAAGTATAATAATATTAAACTAGGGGAAATTGACATGTTGTGGTATATTTTTAAAAAATCAAGAAATGTAACTTTAACTACTTTTATCGGTCTATATAAATTTGTTCAGGATGTCATGTAAAAAGGAAGAGAATAATAAATAGTCGCATACTCGCATTCATGAGGTCTAGAAATCTGAGGTTCGAAAGATGGGGCTGCGCATGGCATGGTAATATGTTAATAACATTGAATGGTCCTAGGGGTCTGTATTCAGCCACCTCTAAACTGCATTATGAAAATTCCAAATCTGAGGTTTCTAATCCCTAGAAAACCTCTTATAAATTTCTGCTTCAATCTATCCTACTTCTCTTCCCAAATTCTATTTATCATCTACTTTCAATCATCTGTCGTATTAGAATTGGATTAAGCATCTGAGCATTAGTTAGATAGGGAGATATCTTTGCCATTTGAAAATTAGCTCAGTGTAGAAGAGTCACTAAAACCGTATATTTATTTATAAAATAGAAAAATATTTTCCATTAAGAAAAATATCAATCAACAATGTGTATTTAACACAAGAAAAATTTTGAACAACATAACTAGCTTTTGACAAGGTCAAGGACCAAATGTTAAAACTGTAAACAAGGTAAACTCACTTGGTTCACTGGGTGATACTTTTTTGAGGAACTGCCGGAAATCCCAGGGATTAAAATGCACAATTCCATGAATGATCTAAGTCTGTAACCACATTAAACAAACGACAGTTACAATTATACAGTACAGAAGTTCAAAATTTTGGCTGCATTTCTTGCTTGAGAGATAGAGAGAGAGAATATCACAGAGGCCATCTTAAGTTCATGCCTTCAGCTTCAAGGTAATAAACAAGAGTAAGATTACACCTTTCTAAAGAAACATGCTTACTTATATGCTAGCTCCTTCACACCCTCATTCCAACCTTCAAGATGCCGGTCCAAAAGAGCACGGGTTAAGGCATTTATCTGAAAAACATTTGGTGTTCCTAAGACCAACTCTAACATCACAACACCAACACTCCACATGTCATATCTGTGAAAGCAAAAAGACTGCTTCAACAGTTGCAAGTAATAAAGTCTAAATCTATGAAAAGATCAAGCCAAATCTTGTAAGGTAAAAAAAATGAGAACAAGATGTTGACTTCATGTATAATGTTACATACTTCAAAGTTGAGCTTGCTGGCCCTTGATACCATGTAGCATTTAGTAAAGCTTCAGGAGCTGTATACTCATAAGTTTGTTCAGCTCTGAAAAAATATAAAGCATATATTTACCACAATAATCACAAATAAATAAATTGAACATATAAATAATCAATCTGTAGAAATAGTGAGATACCTAGACGGCCCAGTGGAACCATATAAATGCTTTAATGTGAATTCATCAATTCCACTTCCAAAATCAATAATTCGCCTAAAACAAACAGCAAAAGGCATCTAATTCATTACGCAACACCAGTAAATTATGCACAAACAAATAGATAGACAAATCAAGTTTTTAAGATAAGCGCAATAACCAAATTTTCTCTCTATCATTGTCAACTACTCAAACCGATCTCACTATCAGTTAAATAATAGATTTAAGAGAGAGATTGCTCCTAATGCCAGCAAGAGATAGCTAAGCACGGATACCTCTTATAGCCCTGTTTATAGGTCCTAGAGGGTGATGAAGAATAAAATTAGATTTTTTCATGCTTCATATCACATGGCTGAATTTAAACTCTGTACAGAATAATAAGAATGGCTTCTAAGAAAACCTCCAACACTTTCGGAGTGGAACATTTTGCAATTCTACTACAAGCAAATCCCATACTGAGAGTTATCATAACTAAAAGGCACATCACATATGGAATTACTATCTAAAAAGGTGAATAACAGATTGTCACAGTGAATGAATTATTTTGTATATCAAAATGGCCTTAAATACCTATCTTTATCTTTGCTGAAAAGTCACTCACCATATATAGCTTACTTTTGGAACAGAAAAACAGTGCATGTGCATTGAAGTTGCCGAGAATTTAACAGCAGAACATGGTTAGACAGAAATGGATGAAGATTTAATTATTCCATAGACAAGAAGGGAACTTGGAAAATGGATGCTAGAAGATCAATGTTTCAAAGGGCACGCAGTAGGTAGCTATTCCATTAAGATCATTACGATAAATTAGTAGATTTACAAATATATATTCAAGTAGTTTTTAAAATATCTTAGCAGAGACGTAGAACTGAAAGTGTGATATGCCAGCACTCTCCGACTAATTGCAAATTATGAGAGAAAAGGAGAAATAAAAAATAAGAGGTCATTTAATTTAAGAAAATATTTTGTTTTCACTTTTCATTACAAATATGTCACCTTCTTTTTATTTTATTTTCTATTTAAAAAATTTGTATAGGAAACAATGAAAACAACTTTTAATTACTTTTACTGTTTTGTATACAAACTTTTGAAAATTAGAAACAAAATGACATTTTTTGTAATTAAAAGTGAAAATAAAAATGAAAACAGAAAACATTTTCTCAAACCAAACAGTTCCCAAGTGCTCCTCATTCAATTTGAATATCAAACATTAAAAAGCAATGTTACATAAGCAAGAAGCCCTTACACCAAAACTATGATAGAAGGAATGATCAAGACCACAAGAGTTTGGTCATTCTATTAGATGATTGTAATCTTAAATACACAGTTTTTATGCAAAATAAAGATTAAACCATAATTGAGTTAATCATATTATAAATAGAAGTAACTAGACATATCTATAGTTCAAATGTACAACATGGAAGGTTACACTGCTTCCTCTCAATTTTAACTCCTATAAAGATTAAAATAAAAGCAGGGTACTAAAATACAACTAAGATACTTCACCATACATTTTGGTAGAAAAATTATTAGTTTTAGTTGGAATCCCTTTCAAGCATCTCCCTGTCTCCTGATCTTCAAAGCATATCACCATATTCTCTTCAAAAATCAAAATATCCCAAGTCAGTTAATTTTTACAAATAAACAAATACTTCCAATTGATCATTGAATTATAATAAAAAGACAATTCAATCCCACATACATTAAAGGATCATAGATGTCAATCTTGTTATGAACAAAGGATGAAGGCACAACATAAGTATAGTGTTTTAACAAGTCAGGGTTAAACATAAAATAGACCGAGATTCCAAGACACTAATATTCAAGATAAAAATTTATCAAGTTACCAGATTTGACTTGAGTTTAATTAGTTGGAGTAAATATAGGAACCCAAAATGCAGGACAGATGGATTAGGTAGATTTACCATACAGGAAAGTAACTAGTGTGTTTACCTAAACAATTTGCACAAATAAAAGTGAGCATTTACACTAATTTCTGGAAAATTAATGACGTGAAATTCATGTGTGTACGAATTGATATCCTATTGATTTAGGAAAAGAATATGTAAGAAACTAATTCAATTCTTGAAGAACAGACAGAAGAAAAAGACTTTTCTTTATTGAATATTCTGAAGTGAGACTGAATTACCGACACAAGTATACAGTGAATATTCATAGGAATTTGAGAGCCTAGTCTCTCACAGCCCAAATGCCAGTGTCTAACCAAAAAGCCCTCGTTCTCCTTTGTTTTTTTATTCTCAGTTATTTACAACTGCCTCAACTAATTGGACTTCTCTAAATCTTTTGGGCTTGGGTTCCTTTCTCTCCTTACATAAACTTGTCTAACTGGGGGTTCGGGCCTACTACTAAGTACTAACACAATATTCTGTTCATCTAGAAATCAACATAGATACACATCACTTAGGCACAAAAAATTACACCATACCAGGTTTAATATCCCTGTGTGTGATGTTGCGATCATGACAGGACTTCAGAGCTAATAACTGAGCAGATAAAAAGAGAGGATTTGTCAAGAATATATTGTAAAAGGTAAAATTCAGAATAAATTATGGGAAATTTCATATGGCCATATCCAGAGAAACAGAAAATTTTCACTTTTTGTGTTAATAGCAATGAAATTTACTAAACATAAGCATAAAAATGAAGATATTCAAATACTGAACCTCCAAAACTCTTAAAAATTAATATACTTGAGTAATGCATATTTTCTGAGAAATTTATACTTCTTAGTAAAACCTGGTAGCATGCTAACCCTTTTCTAGTATTAACCACACACTGTTCACCTGAAAACATATGCAGAGGTCTATAATGCACCACAAATGAACAAAAGAAAAATGGTGGATATCTCAGGATAAGAAAAAGCTGTGTAGCCAGGTAAAAGTGATTCTTATTTTAGTCATGGAAAAAATGTAGCATCTATATAGGTTTCAAAGTCTTAAATACCACAGAATATGCAATAAGTCACAGAACCTACATTTAAGACATACCAGCTGCCAGATAAGGTTGCGCATTTCCTCTTGCCCTTCTTCTGTCGTTTTCAACCAATGCCACCACTTTGATGGACGTATTATTTGAACATGTTCTACTTGCTCAACTCTTTCTTTCTCAGTAGTACCAAATCCATCTTCCACGGTATATAGAAGTTTTGTCAATGACACGCCTTCATAACTAAATACAAGCCATATTTCATTGGCTTGAGACTCAAAAGACTCCACATATCTTGCAATATGGTTCAAACCTTCTTCGTATGAGACTCTTTGCAGCCAAAATTTGTTTGGAAATGAATTTTCAGAACCAAATTGTGATGTTTCCAAGACACAGTTTGATTTTCCATCCGAGAAAAGATTCTCAATGCATGTAGAGGCATTTAAGAAAATTTCTCCAAAATATTTCTCCCTCAGCCCACTTAAGTAAACAGCAGACCCTCTCTCTACCTGTTTAGGGCATTTAAGAGTTATTTGAGCTATACACTATCATTTGCATAATTATATATACAATGCTTCCTGAAAACAAAACTTACTAAATCTAGGCAGAAAATATAAAAAGCAGCAAGTCTAGGCAAACCACCTTTCTTTTGATTGGGATTTATGTTTATCAATAAAAAAGATAATGTTAACAAACTATAGTTAGATAAGAAAAGAAGGTATGAGACAAGGAGACAAGGAGACAAGTGTAAGTGACAGGTGAGAAAAGACATAAGTTTACCCAATATCAAATCTACCATATTGAACTTGGACTTTAAACTTAGCTCAACCCTAAAGGCAAGCTCATAAGGTGAGAATTGTTTTAGCCTTTATAAGCTCTTATAACCATATCTATAGTCAATGTGAGACTTCAAGAAGGAGAAAGGAGGAAAGATCAATGGATGGAACATTAGACGTGTTCTAATGGGATGACAAAGTAAAATAGAGACTAAATGCCTGGATAAGACATTATACACATGGTATATAAAATTTAAATTGTGATAATTTCAGGGTTTCAAATTTATTCAGATTAAAATTATTGAAATTAAATATAATATTATAACAGGTTCCATTTTTTATTTTTGGTGTTACCTATGGAAACAGCACATCTAATTTATATATATTTTCACTAAGATAAACAAGCATCACATTAAGGGGAGAAAGACATAGAAATGGAGGAACTGTTGTGATTACCATAATTAAAATAGATACTGATTACCATAATTAAATCAGATTTTTTATTCTGTAATTAGGACAAATTTGATTAGCTATAATTTGTACGGCTTTTTTATTTAATATGATCTTTTTGTAATTACTACAATTAAGACATAATTAGCCTATAAATACAGTTTAAAACTCCTATAATGATTTAACCAAATACAGAATTATTCAAATTCTTCTTTCTATAGTTATCTTTCAAGTTGGTATCAGAGCTCTTGATCTTAGGGGCTTTGCTTCCGCACTAAAATAATAGCCGCCTTCATTGAGGGCTCCCCCAATATTGCCTTCATCATGTTCTTTTAGTATTTGGTGCCTTTATTGCACCTTGTAACAGGTGTTTCTCTTCTTAATTCTGCCTTCATCGCAGAACCTGTTGTTTGGAGCGCATCATTGAGATCGGCCAAAATCCAAAGCTGCATCACCGGAAACTGCCACACGCACAGTCACGCGCTGTCACAATTCCTGGTGCATGTCACCACACGGCATTGTAACAGTCTCTATTCACAACGCCTCTCACCTTTGCTTTCGCACTAAAATAATAGCCGCCTTTATTGAGGACTCCCCCAATATTGCCTTCATCATGTTCTTTTAGTATTTGGTGCCTTTATTGCACCTTGTAACAGGTGTTTCTCTTCCTAGTTCTGCCTTCATCGCAGAACATGTTGTTTGGAGCGCATCATTGAGATTGGCCAAAACCCAAAGCTGCGTCACCGGAAACTGCCACACGCACAGTCACGCGCTGTCACAATTCCCGGTGCATGTCACCACACGCCATTGTAACAGTCTCTATTCACGACGCCTCTGCAACCACACGAGTTGTTGGACCTTCTTGGTTCTGTTCTAGTAATTGGTGACCATAAAACAAAATCGTGCTGTTGGTTCTTACATTTTTTACCTCCCTCGCTTTTGTCTGATAGTTAATGGCTAATGAGAACCCCGTCTCTACTCAAGCTATAGGTCCTAATGACCTTGTTTTACAGGGATTTTACCGACTTGATGGTCACAATTATCTACAGTGGTCACAGCTTATTCGCAGAACCTTGAAGGGGAAGAAAGAAGTTAAGCCACATTAAAGGAAAAATCCCAAGCAAAAATGAATTGCAGTATAAAGTCTGGGATAATGAAGACTCTCATCATGACGTGGCTATGGCACTCGAAACTTCCTTAAATTAGTTGAAATTGTATGTTCTTCTCTACCACTAAGGAGATTTGGAAAAATCTGTAACAAACTTACTAAAAAAAAAAAAGGACACGTCAACCTTTAATGAGTTGGAGAATCAAATATTCAACACTAAACAAGGATCTCTGTCTGTGACTGAATATTATGGCATTCTGAATGGTTTGTGGATTGAGTTAGATCAGTACCAAGATTTAACAGTGAAATGCAATGATGATACTGCCATTCTGACAAAATTTATTGAGAAAGCAATGATCTTTAAGTTCTTCTTTGGCCTAAACCATAAATTCGATCTCATCCGAGTTCAAATTTGGGGGAAGAGAAGCTTCCTTCCCTCTCAGAAGTGTTTTACTCTATTCATCGTGAAGAGAGTCGAAGGACAATAATGCTAGAAGATAAACTCATTGAAGGATCAACCTTGGTCTCTAGAAAGGGGTCTTTCGGAAAGCTTTCCATGAAGTCTAACCGAGAGGAGAGTTGGTGCACCTATTGTAAGAAGTCCGGCCACACTAAGGAAACCTACTTTAAACTTCATGGGAAGGATAAGGTCCTTGGACGCACTGAAGGGTATCTAACAAAGACATGCCAATCAAGCAACTTCTGACTCTAAGATTGCTAATGAAGATCCTCTAGTGTCACAAACTAAAGAAAAAATCACAGCCCTTATCAAGGCAGATTATGCAAGGTCTATTATGGATAGGAGATTCACCACAAGATATTGTATACTTCTAGGAGGAAATTTAGTAACTTGGAGGAATAAAAAACAAAATGTAGTTGCAAGGTCAAGTGTTGAGGCAGAATTTAGAGCTATGGCTCAGGGTATGTGTGAACTGTTATGCGCAAAGATTATTTTAGATGACCTTAAATTAAAGTTTGAAGTCTCTATGAAATTGTTATGTGATAATGAATCCGCTATTAGCATAGCTCATAATGTGGTCCAACATAATCGAACTAAGCATAAAGATAGACAGATACTTCATTAAGAAGAAATTAGACAATGGTCTTGTAGCCACGTCATATATCTCCTTTGGACTTCAATTGGCAGATACATTCACCAAGGGATTCCCACGGATTAGTTTTGAGAACTAACTTACAAGCAAGCTGGGAATGATAGATATCCATTCACCAATTTGAGAGGAAGTGTTGTGATTACTATAATTAAGACAGATTCTAATTACCATAATTAGACTAGATTTGTTTTTCTGTAATTAGGACAGATTTGATATGTTTCTATAATTAGGACAAATTTGATTGACTATGATTTGTATAATTTTTTTATTTAATATGATCCTTTTGTAATTACTACAATTAGGACAGAATTAGCCTATAAATACAGTGTAAAACTCCCATAATGATTTAATCAGATACAAAATTATTCAAATTCTTCTTTCTATAGTTATCTTTTCAAGTGGAACAAACTAATTAAAAGAATAAAGCAAGCAGCTTCCTCAGGCCAAGTAATTTATACAACTACACAATGATCCAAGTTCTAGAATATGTTTATCTGTCCTCTCGAAATATATAAAGAATAAGGACTGGGGTTTTGTACTTTGTACAAATAAGTAGGGCAGAAGACTTGTTGCATTTTAATTATGTTGATGCACGAAAATAAAATAGGTATAAACTCCTTTCATGCAATACATAATGCATTTTGACACCCAAAGAGATCCTAGTACACTGAAACCATTAAAAGCAGTTCTATTTCACCCAAACTTTTTACCATTATCCGTTTCAATATGTACTGGGTGTAGTTAGAAGGACCATCCTGACAATTAGAAGCAGTAGAGCTGCTGTTTTTGTTATTGCCATCCTTGCTCATTTTTGCAGCATTACTATCCTGATTACAATTCCAGTGAAAAGCCAACCATACTTCACCATATGATCCACGTCCAAAACTCTTCTTCAATACATACCTATACACAAAAATGCACGTTGGCTTAATAGTTGGGCTAAAGAAAAACATTTACAGCATTAAATTCTCAAACACAAATTTTCCTCTTACACAATGAAACATAACGGCAATCATGATAGTACAGACCATCCATAGCTAATGGAACCTCAAAACTGTATGAACTTTAAAAATGATTTTTCCACAAGATATTAACCTACTAACTTCAACTAGGAATTTTATTGGCTTCTAGACTTGCGAATGTATACAATATCAAAGCAGATAAATTTACCTCAAATCAGGCATTGAATCAGAAGATTCATTACTGGAACCAGCATCATGTAAAGGAATTGATTCAAGAAGACCGATAAAACTGGCAAAGCCTTCCGGATTTATGCACTGGTCTTTGGCTTTGTTAACATTTGGACCAAGGTGAAAGCAAAAGTCTTGGTTATTGTATAAATATACAGGACCACCTGAATCTGAAAAAGGAATCAACCAAAGAGCATTTGATTGTGAAGAGATAAACTAAAATTCAACTAAAAACAAATGCAAGATATCAAAAAAATTAAGAGCAACCACCAAATGTACCAAGATTATGTAACTAAATAATATGAAATCTTTGCTTACCAGCATGTTGATGAAGAGCATCTAGAGGCTGAGGTAGTTCATATAAATAGTCTTCCCATTCAGGTTTTTTGGCAATAGGCTTAGAATCCACTGGTTCATCAAGATTTTCAGATAAATAAAAACATCCAAAATCACCATCTTTCACTTCAACCTATCATAAAATGAATCCAAGGCATTCATTCATTCAGATTGATTTTGACCCAAAGGATCTCTATTTTGAAGTGAAGCAATGATTTATTAATTTAAAAGATACTAAAAGAGTACAGCAAGAAAAATGAAAATATAATCTTGAGGGCACATGTATAAGGATGACAAATCCCCAAAAATGAAACATTTTTTTGGTAATGTATAAAACAAATACCACCAAAAACGCTTATAAATCAGCCCTGTGCATGTGTGCATGCACGTGTGATTGTGTGTAATTATTAAAAAAAAATACATCTCACCACCTTGAGATTGATAATTCAAATATTTTATCCCCCTAACCACAAAAAAATAGTGCCAATTTACTTGCAATTTTTGTCATTGGTTTGCACTATTGCATTAGGGAAACATCAGTGACTAGGAAAGAGGACAGAGGGTTTGCATCCCTCAAAGAAAAAAAATGCCTGAAGTTCCAGTAAAGCAGGTTGGTTGGTCCTCATTCAATTCAAAACATACAAAGCACTCTTCTCAAGACATTTTCAATAACACCGTGCTTCCTCCTCCAACAACAACAATGTAAAAAAGTCAAAGCTCCCAACTGACCCGATCACATTTTTAAGAGTCACAACATACGAGTCTTCTTACTTTAACACGCATAACAATTATCTTATAAATTGACAAAATGCTATCAGTCTGTTCAGAAAAACCAATCCATTCCTTAATTCCACCCAGACATTCAATTTATGATAGAAAAACAAACAAAATATGGAAGAAATTGACAATGAAAATTTCCAGAGCTTTCAGTCATACCAATATTCGCTTAAACTTGGTATCTACCAGATGAGGATGCTCCAATTGCATTAGATCAGATTTGATGTCATTAACTGAGCCAGTTCCAAAATAATAAATTAGATGATAAGCATCAGTAACAAGAACACAAGCTACAAAATGGAGTAGCCAAATTAAATAACTTCTGCAATCATTTAAGTTCCCAACAGAGCACAAACCAGGCAAATTTGATTTTCTTCATCGAAGTTAAACATGGCAGCAATTGTTACATACAAATTCACATCAAATGTATCAACTAGAAAAGGTTAATTTCGTAAAACTTTAACTAAACAAGCACTTATTGCCAAGTATGCCAATTATATATATATCTCCATATGCTATTACATGCCACTAAACTTTCTTTGAACATTTGTACACAAAAACTGAAGATAAACAAAGAACAGAGGGGCATATAAACAAGCTGGTAAATGACACCCAAAAAAATTGCATTTTAGTGGTAAGCACTTAAAATTTAATGAAGGGAACTGAGCAAGGTAGTCAAAATCGCGTTTTCGATCGTAGAATCTACGATCATCAGCCATGCCTCTGCTGAATCGGTGTTGGGAACACGAAATGGTGGGATCGTTCTTGCTGGGACGTAAAATTGTTGAAAACGCACGATTCCGATTTGCAGAGAAGAAGATATTTTAGGCCAATGACCCGCGACCCGACCCGACTTCATTAAAGGAGTTGGAACCTAAAATCCCAAAAACTCCGCACTGCAACTTCTTTCTTTCTTCTTCACTCTGTTCTGCAAGACTTTAAGTCTCTATTGTGCGACTTCTCTGCGTTTTTCCGGCGACTATGATTTGGCTCTGCGACTAGATTTTTTTTTGCGATTTGGTCTGGAATTTTCTGCTTTCTGTATTTTGTTTTGGTCTGCAATCCTTATTAGCTTTCGCTCTTATGACTGTGTCTGCTCTGGCAACCTTGTCTGTGTTGGCACTCTGCTTTGCGCTGGCGACCTTGTCAAAGCGGAGCATTTTGCTGTGGTGGCCATCCCAACTATATTTGCAGCCATCGTAGCTTCATTCGCAGTGCAACAGTGCTGCTAGAGTATAAGTAGTCAACTTTCACTTTCTATCCCCAGAATGAAGCAAATTTTAGAATTTTTTTAAGAGTTAAAAAGACTTCTTAGTTTTTAAAAATAATCTAACTTTCCTTTTTAGCCCTTAAAATGACTTTGTTTTAACTTTTAAGTCTTTTTTAGGGGTAAAATAGTCTTTCCAATGTAATACCTTACCTGATCCATCTTTTCCTTCTCCTCTTCTCTATCTCTGTTTTTATAGTATGTCCCTGTCTCTGGTTTGAATTGAGTGTTGCTCCCTTTCTTCATTTGTCTTTGTTTTGCTTTCTTATCTTTATATTTATACTATTTTACATGCATTTATACAATTTTATAAGATCTTATGATCCGTGTTACGATCCTACGAGTTATGATTTTTCTTCTCCTCTCCGATCCTATGTAGAATCTCAAATTTGACTACCATGGAACTGAGGAATAGTAGAAGTAATTAGCAATGACAAAAATATAACCTGATTTGAATTTTAAATCATTTAATAATATGTATTTCAGTCAAAATCATATACAAGTTCTTCCAAAAGTATCAATTTATCATTTTTACATGCCTTTATTGTCTTTCTTCTGCACATAAATTTTATGGTGTTGAAGATCCCTAATTTAAATAACAGAATTTTCTACATTGGAGTTCTTTTTGGGCCTCCTTGACTCTATTAATTTGGTCTTCTCGTTCAGATAAAAGAATTTTGTCCCTTGATCCTTCTTGGGCATTTTTTTATAATTTCTATTCCTCACTCACTCCTTGGGTAGGGACACTTCTTGATAAACCCTTTTGAAAATCCAAAGCTCCCTTAAATTCAAAGTTTTCATTTGGACTGCAGTATTTATTAGAATCAATACTAATAAAATGTTGTAGGGTTGTAGACCATGAAAGAGTCTTTCCCCATATGTGTGTATGTGTGGTGCTTGATCATAATTTATTTCTTGCCTGTTCTAATATTGTTCCACTGGTTTCATTATGGCACCTCTTATTTGGAGTTTTGAGCAAATTTTGGGTGTGTCCAAGGTCCTTGGACTTGTTCTTCATGATTAGTTTCATGGCTTTGGTAAAAGTAATCAACAAAGAGGTTTTTTTTTTTTTTTTTTTTTTGTGGCAATATGGAATCTATACTACAATATGGTGCATTTGGTTGGAGTGAAATTCTGATATGATCATCACTTGATTTGGGATAAGATTGGATGTTTGGCATCTCTTGGCTCAAGTTTTTCTAATTGTTTTTCATTAACAGATAAGTTTATAGAATGCGAAAATTTGGTTACACTGTAATTTCTCTTCATCTTAATAAATTCTATTGAAAAAAAATTGACATGCACTGTGGTTTGTGAAATTTAAAAAGTCATCCCACCCAAGTTGTGTATGAGTCTGTGAGGAAGGGAGAAGGCACGTGGAAAAATTAAAACATGAGAGGATTTTTTAGATAAAAGGTCAAGATAGGGGAGGCCTCTCTACCATTCAAAACATGAAGGGAAGGAAGTGCAGGTTTAAAAAACTGCCAGGAAGGGCAGCAGAATATAGTATTTATATTATTTTCCCATCAAAGAAGAAAAGTGAACCCAACCTTGCCAATACCCCCATATTCCTTAAATTAATTATGTACAAACTACTATGGAAAAACAACAGACATTAGGAGCACATGTTGAGGTAATGAATCTAGATATGTGTAGTTTCATCATTTAAACCTACAAAAGGTACCTGAGCTTGAAGCAGGTTCCTGAAGACCAAATAATGAGAAACCTGCATCCCTCTTTTCAATATAGCTTCCCCTGAACAAGTTTGCAGAAGATTTGGCAGACTCCAGAGGAAAAACAACAGCTGCCACATTATCCATACTGCCCTTTTTTACGGCAGTATTAACAATAAAATCTGCCAATGAATATGAAGATGAAGGGGTACACTCTGATCTCATATTACTGAAACGGTGAACTTCCCATAAAATATCACAGACATCTTGCACACTCATCTTCTCAAATACACCATCAGATGCTGCCACCAAATAGCTATCATTAGCAGTCAGAGGCTGCCAATCAGTCACTTCCGGTGCAGATATAACACCATAACTGTCAAAAATTCATCATAAGAAATGCAATAGGATTTCAACAAGAAAGTTTAGATTGTGAAGAAACCAGTCATCCTAAAATATTAAGATGTTAGCCCTCACACAAGCACTTTGGGCTTGAGGCCTAGACAAAGCACAGGACCACCCCTACTTTTACTGAAATTATTTAATACAAGAACGGAGCTGGTTTAATATGGACCACCAACTCAAAATCATTTGCGCATGATACAAGGCTAGTGTGTGAAATATACACATGCTCTGGCTATAAGCTTGGGTTTATGAAAAGAACTTACACTTAACATACCTTTTAAAGTGTACATCACCAATAGCTCGTGTAACAGCCAGCTGACCATTTATGCGAGGCACACCACCCCAATTTTGAACTTGACCACCAGCTGTTTCCACCCGAATTCTTTCATCATCTCTATCCGGATGATGATCACTGGTCAATTCCTTTACTGCAAAATGAGTGAGTCCATGGGAGGAAGCTAATCTGTACTTTTCACGATCCCACACAGAAAGAGAACTGTCAAGCTCTTTCTGCCTATATAGCTTTAATAACGAGTCTACAAATCACCAGGAACAAAAATTAAAAACCTTATAGTCATGTTCTTTTAAAATGAAAAGGTAAGCCTGTCACCTTGTCATAACCAAATATCACATTTAGACAAAAAAAGAAAGTGCAACAGAATAATATATAATATTACAGTTATGACATGATAAACTTGTATCTTGAGAATTGAGTGTTTAATTATATTTCACAATAATTCTCACTAACCTTTAGCCTCTTTGGGAGACTGAAATTTTTCAGAGCACAAGAATGCCTTAGAGTCTCCAATGTTGGCAACCAAAATTTTATCATCTGCGACCAAAACAACAGTTGCTGTAGATCCTGAATGAAGATTATTTCTAGAGGCTTCCTTCATAGTTCAATTACAAGATATCAATACAAGAACAAGTATGAAGAAGTATCATATAACGTTTTGTAAACCGAACAAAAAGTCAAACTTACCTCTGAAAAATTAGCATCTATGTCATGGATTGCTCTCAACAATGCTTCCTTCAAAATTTCCAAGTGAAAAGAATCATCAAAATTTGCTGAAAATGTATTCTGAAACCTGGAAAATTGTTACTAGTTGAGAATTGAGATGAACATACATAAGTGAGAAACAAAAGGAATGTAAATATTTAAATGCTATTTGTTTAGAACACTTAATCTACTTGTAAACCAATAAAGCAACTCCAAAGCCGAACCAAATGTTAGTATTGACTAGTGATTAAATTGGGCATTCAAAAACTATCCTCAATAATACTGGTACGTGCCTAAATTAGCATTTGTAACTGACATATGTTCGTTATAAGTTCATAAGGAAGAAAGCATCGTCAACTTTGGCAATCATTACTCTGCATAAAACCAACCTTTTTTCATTTGAAAGAGTTATGTGCAAAGCATAATTAACTATACTCAACATTTAATCAATAATGCTAGAGATACAAAGGCACCTTTCAAAATGCAGTTCTTGCTGCTGCCAGCCTAGAATTTCTTTCCATCTATGCAGCAGGTTTACATGATCACGGTCTCTCTTGTGAAGCACAGTTCCGGTTGACGTCTTGGATATAACAGAAAACGTGGCATCAAGAAGAAAATAAGTATGCAGAACGAAATACTCCACCAAAAGTTTCGATGCCATCTCACTAGCTTCTGCACCGTTATGACCATCGAAAACGGCCACGATCCCTACCACAACCTCCTTGATCCCGTTCGCACCTGTTCCAGCATCAAACACAGAAAATTACAACGAATGCTTCAGACGAAGCTTCTGAAACACAAACCAGAGCAAAGGAAGAGACAGAGAGAGATCGTACCGGGGAAGGGAATGCGAACATCAAGGACGCAAAGAGTGCGATCCTCTTGGGAGTTTCTGCGGCCTTGAAGCATTGCGGACTGGCAACGCGCGGTGGTTTGGGGAGGGGAATCGTAATCGGAGAGCTTCCAGCGAGGGCATTTTGGAGATTGGAACACTGCGGGAGCACCGCCGTTCTTGTAGACCGTCAAGCACGTAGACGATTCGCCGTGCGCGAAGGGGATTGTGGCTGAGAGAAGAAACCCTAACGCGAATAATAGGTGCTGTGACAGTAGCTTCCGAATCATGCCTGGTAATTAAGAAGGTGACGAATGATGTCCATTGCAGTGCTGACGCACTATTCGTGAAGTGTGCCGCGTTTCCAACTGCTACTTTGCTTCTTACCAATTTTCGTTTTCTTACAATCAGAAGATTTTCCCAAACCGCCACTGCAGATAACAGCCGCGCCAACTTCTTCTTCTTCAATTGAACAAGTTACGGTTGTATGTGCAAGAACATCGAAATGGTCCCTATTCTTTGCGTTCTGTTTCATATACTCAATAAAAATATAATAAATGTATTTTAGATATTTTTTATTCAAAATAAAAAAATATTTTTGACATTTAAATTTAATTCTAAAAATCGAGGTTAATAAAACTACGTAGTATAAGATTTAATAAATATTATCACGTTACAGAAAGAAAAATAAAAAATAAGGGCTTCTGTTATAACAACTTTGCGGTTCATAGTTAGTCTTTAAACTATTAAAAAAAGTCAAACATAGCATTCACAAAAAATAAATTTATATTTTGTTATTTCTTTTAACATTTTATATCTTCTCTAACTATCTAATCAAGTATCAAAAATATATTTTCATGGCTTAGTTTCTGGTTGAGTTAATTTAACCACTAAGGGACACAATTATCATAAAGACAACAGCTTTGAGATGAGTTTTGCTGCTAAGATAAAATGGAAAGTTTTAGAGTTTATTTCAAGAAATAATTTAATTAATAACTTTAATAAAATTTTATTATATCAAAGTTTAATGATATAATTTTGTTACTAAAATTAATCATAATAAATAAAATTATTTTAATCCATTATTTAAAAATGTTGTTGCACGATTCTTTTTAATTGATTTCAATACATAATTTTTCTCATTTTATTTTAATTAATATTCTTTTTACTCCTTTGATTTTGAATCATATGATGCAACTTGTTTACTATTCACTACTTTTCTGCCGTTTAACATACTCTTCGAACAATATCATACAAATTTTATTTTATATTATAATAAGAAAGACTTCAAATAATAATATGATATTTTTGTTTTATTATACTTCATCGCTTATTTAAATAAAAAGTAAAATAAGAGACTTAAGTCCTTTTAATTTGGACTAATAAATATTTTGTATTTGAAAATAAAATTGTTTAAATATGACTTAATTTGAGTGGTGTACGTACATTTGTCCTTTTTTATAATTAACGTTGAAATTGTATCCAATTTGAATTTTAGTCTTTTTATTATTCTTATGTGAATATTCATCTTTCAATTTTCACCCATTTAGATTTTAATTCCTATAATCCCTTCTCCTTTTCGATTTATTCAATCTTATTTCTTATCATCTATAATTGTAATTAAAGTATTAATAATAGATGAACCAAATTTCAAACAAGCAAAATCACAAGAATTAATATCCAAAAAAATTATAATACTAAAATTAAAATGAAGTCAAACTATAGAGCTTGATATTTATTAAACTATTTTGTAAAAATTAAGTGAGTATGCATTTAAGCAAAATTAATGTCATTCAAACATGCATTAAGTTTGATTTAACGTTGAATTGTAATATAATCATGTTTACTTTAAATGAACGTACTTTTCTAAAAAAGTATGTTCGGTTATTATTAAATATTTTTGGTTTTTCTTTTAAATTGCGTTTGACCTAACTAATAAACTAAAACTATTTGTATATATAAATATATACATATATTAAATTGTACTATAAACTTATCTTTATTTTGTCTATATATGCATTATGTCTTTGAACTCGATTACAGTTTCATTTTGTCTATAGTTTCATTCTATTTGCAGAAATAAAGTTATATATACATTTTTTCTCAAGGAAAAATAAAAACAAGAGCCTATAAGCCACATGCATGGACCATGGAGAATATGAATTCCACAGTGAAAACTGAACCTTGTTGAGAGGCTATGATAGACAAAATACAAACATGGAGAGAGTGTCAACTCCAGCAACGTATAGTGGTAGTCATCGTTGGAGCACAATGTTCCGATATTACAGGTTGAGTCAAAGATCACCAAGCACTTTCAGGAGTGGGTTCATCGATCCATGGTTGATTTTTCATTTTTCCTTTTCGGACATATTAGGATTTTAGTACCGGTTCTATCCAAAGGTGAGAGAGAGTGACTGAATTACAAGTTTGAGTAATTTTGTTGTTTAAAATATTCTAGACAATTTTAAAAGGAAAATTTTCTTATTAATATACTTTTAAACATATTACTAACTCATTTTACATCTCCTAACATGACATAATTATCGAGATTTAAATTGATTCATATTCACTAATAATATACACTGTTTTATTATATGATTTTTATGTCATTCTCAAATAATGCAATAAAACATTTTTTTCAAACAAAATATGTGAATGTTACAATAATTAATATTTTTCTTTCCCTCCACAGATACTAGACCTATAACGAAGTTTTATATATACTAAAAATGTTAAAATGAGAGTATAGATTTATAATAGATCACATGTTAAGTTGAAATACTTTGGTGTTAATAAATTTAGTGCTTAATGGTAATATTTAACTGTTAATTAAAAAATATTTTTAATAGATAAAAAAAAACCCCAATATCGTATTTACTTCAACAAAAATAACTATATAAAAATGAGAATAATTATATTTTTATTGAAAATCAAATCCAGGACAATTTATTTACAAGGTTGTTATTTACTCATTTGTGTATCCATTGATTGTTATTTCTTCTCACTCACGAGCCCTCTTCTTGACGTTGATGAATATGAATTAACAAATGAGCTTCAATGGTAGTTAAGACAGATGCAAATTGACGTGCAAATGTGTCCCAGTTGCATGACAGACAGGGCCCGGCACGAAAATTGCATCACCGTCACCTTCCAAGAGGGCAAAGAAAACAGAAATTGTCCTTAACAATAAGAACCAATAACCAAATTAAACATAAGATGTCATGTCATTCAAATACAAAATCTAGTACATTCGAGAACGTTACAGAACTTGTGTACGATACAGCCACCACCGTATTTAAAGGTTCTGTAATTTCTTCGTTAACATGAATATAAGGATATACGTCAAAAGAATAAACAATAATAATTTTTTATGTGTAGTTCTAACATTTAATATTATTAATATATTAATTTTATAACATTTATTATTTAATAAAAAATATGATAAAAAAATCTTAACTGTTTTTTATTATTGTTACGTGTCACTGTGTGATTGAAACTTGACATAGCTTGGTAACGACTTTATTCTGACCGTAGCAAGTTGCCCGTGGGCGTAGTATTCTAAATCCTTCTATTCTCTATTTTTTGAAAGTATCTTACATTTTTATGATAAAAAATATTTTTATTTAATGTTAACCTTATAACATGACAGTGCTGGCTCACCGCTCGCATTCCTAGAGCATGGACTTCAATGCACTACGATGCCACGTCACGCTAGTAGCTGCCAAGCTGCGTTGTTGCAACGTTTCTGCCTTTGCACGATTTTATTTAAACTTTTTTGGAGTATCGTTGATTTCCTGAACCTTATGGAGCATTTATTGACATTGATGTGCTTAAATTGTTATTGCTTGCTAAATTTATGTCTTAAAACACGTTTTTATCATAAACAATGTATTATGTAAGGAACATGCATCATACTAAGAAGAAGAATGCTGGTAATATACTTTTTTTAATATATATTTTATAATATGTTGGATGGAGATCAAGATATACACGCTGGTAATAATTAATATTAACTCGTGCTAACTTTTGTTTCCGCGTCCTGTTATAAGAAATAATTCAAAATTTAAAAATTGTTCTCTGTAAACGAATAATCAATTTAAATAAATCATGACAGCTTTTATTTCAAAATAAAAGATATATATTTTACCCAGTTGCTAGTAGAAACAAAAACCAGAAATACAAAACGAAAGCATAAGCTCAAGACCCTATCAAATGGATATTTTTTAAAGAGAAAACAAAATAATTAATGTCAAACTATTAAATTAATAAACTACACGTAAATATGTAGAACATTAATCTTTGAATCGATATATTTTACGATGAAAAAACAATTAAAAGAATAAATTAGTAATATAAATCCTCCTTAAACAATAAAGCATCTGACACTCTGAGCTGATGATATCTTTGCGCAAGTATGTATGAAAATGCTGAGTAATGCTATTCTTAAAATTTTCGTGCCATGAAATCATGAATTTAGCTTAACTCCAACCAATCAGGTACAGCCAGAAGGAAAAGCCTGCTCTTTCTTGCTTTCTTCCCTCTATGCTAACAATTATTTGTGGTTTTGAATCAATTTGACTTGCAACCAATCAAATAATATATATAATAAAATCAATGTGACAGCCAAAACCAATCCTTTTATGCCACTCCACCAAGCTGGCCTCCGTAACTTCCAGAATTTTCCAAACCTAGGGACCAACCTCTCTCGCTATCCCATCCAATTGCTTCACGGGGGAGGGGCTAAGATATCTAGAACTTTCTAATCAATTATTCCTTTTTCAGCATACTCCAATTTTTTCTCCTATATAATCCCCCTTAAACGACTTTCCAAAATGTTCTTCCTGTTTCATTCATAATCTTTCTCTTCAACCTCGTTTCTTATCATGTAATAGACTTTCCCTTTCTCTATACCTTTTCTCCCTTCTTTCCTCACTGTTGCACTTAGCCTCAACTCACTTGTGCAAGCTTCCCCTTTAATACTATTCAATTTTCCACTCTATGCTGTCTAGTGTAAGTTTTCTTACTGAAAAAACCACGCTGGTATTAATTATTAAGATAACAATCTACCTTAGAAGCATAAATAAAATAACAAAATTCACGTATCAGAACAAGCAAAAAAATTGAGAATGGATTATACATATCCAGTAGTGAAAGAAGAATACTTAGAACCCTCATCATCATATCAATCAGGTGGTGAATATACACCAATGATTCCCCCTCCACAGCCAATGGAGGGGCTTCATGACACGGGAACCCCTCCATTTCTCACCAAAACTTTTGATGTGGTGGGCGACCCAACAACCAACCATGTAGTTTCTTGGAGCAAAGATGGCACCAGCTTTGTGGTTTGGGACCCACATGCCTTCTCCACTGCTCTTCTTCCCAGATACTTCAAGCACAACAATTTCTCAAGCTTTGTCAGGCAACTAAACACTTATGTATGTATTATTTAATCATAATCTCTTTAATTAAAAATTTTCCATCAAATTTAATGCCTATGTGGTTTAATGTTTTTCTTGTTAATAAAGAAACTAATTCTATGCTTTATTGAATAACTAAAGCCATTTGTTATAGCAAACTATTCTCAGTTTGTCCAATTTTAATATTTTTATTTTTCATAGTCATGTGTAGTGTTCAATTTGACAGGGTTTTAGAAAAATTGATCCAGATAGATGGGAGTTTGCAAATGAAGGATTCATGAGAGGGCACAGCCACTTGTTGAGGAATATAAGGAGAAGGAAGGCACCTTCCCAACTAGCACAAGATCAACAGTGTGTCGAAGTTGGACGTTTTAGGGTGGATGAAGAGATCGATCGTTTGAGGCAGGACAAGCGGGTGTTGATGATGGAGCTTGTGAATCTAAGACAGCAGCAACAGAATACCAGAATGTGCATGATGGAGATGGAGCAAAGGTTACAAGGGACAGAAATCAAGCAGCAGCAAATGATGGCATTCTTAGCTAGAGCTATAAAAAATCCAGCCTTTGTACACCAACTGCTACAGCAGAAGGAGAAAAGAAAGGAGCTTGAAGAAGCCTTGACCAAAAAGAGGAGAAGGCAAATTGAGCTAGGAGATTCAACTACTAGAAGTGGGGGTGAAGGAAGGAGCACTGTTAAAGTTGAGCCCGTAGAATTTGGAGTGTCTGAGTTGGAGATGTTAGCTATGGAAATGCAGGGTTTTGGAAAGGAAATGGTTGGCCAAGAGGAAGGAGTTGATAGAGAACTTGATGAAGAGTTCTGGGAAGAACTACTGTTTAGTGAGAAATTTGAGGGTCGATTAGACATTCCAACAGCTGAAGATAAAGATGAAGATGAAGATGTCAACGTGTTGGCCAATCAATTGGGTTGCTTGGATTCAAGTCATTGAGTGAACCACTGAATCAAGATTAACCCCTTTTTCATTCTGTCGATTAGGTTCAAAATTCAAGTCATGTCAAAGTCAATATTTATCCATAAGAGGCATCACACTGGTGGAGTCAAAAGTCATCCTAATTGGCAATACAGTAAAATTAGAAGCAGAACGGAAATAATTTGCTTTTGGTGTTTCTAACTCTATTATATGTCCTTTTGTAGCACTTGGTGTGAAACCCCCAATTCTCACTTTTCTCAATGTTTAATGGGGTAGCTTGCTGCTAGTGCTGGTGCTTGGACAAGAATCTTTGGTAGGGATAATGGTCATTATTCACCTCAAGGTTCAGTTTTTTTTTCACCCCCTCAAACACCTATGTAAATGTGTACCGCATCATATGAACCCAGATATATATGTCATGCTTCTTGTAATTTTAATAACTCTCAGTGAATGTAGATCACTCAGAAGGTGTAGAATGGACAAGAAGTAGCCGAACTCCAACAATCATAACTGAATGTTGCTTATCAAGAGCCAGTGGGTCGTTAATTAACGTTGTCGGTTTGATTTTATTCCCCTCCTAATTATTTTTTTGGTGTGTTTATCCTTTGCTGTTGTGTGGTCAGAAAGAAAGGAAAAAAAAAAACCGCCGCAGATAGCTTTATGGTTGGATGATGGTACATAACTGTAGTATGAATAAAGTGTCATCACATGCACCTTCAGGTTCCATTCTCATTAAAATAATCATTTGCACTTGCAGGCTCTCAAGATGTCTAGTGTCAGTCTAGAGTATGATCAGGTAATGATAAGATTTTATTTCATTTTCTTTTCTGTCTTCCCCTTTAGAGTAATATAACAGAATTGTTTCCCTTTCTCTCTTCAAGTTTCAGATTTGGGAAAAACTATAGTGGTCTGTATTATATATCAGGTTTGGCATCTATTTGAGTTGTTAACATGCCTAATTTTTTGAATTGATTGTTACCCTGGACGGATAATCTAGGACTGGTATAGTCGGAGATTCAGGTGAAGGATATGAAGTGATTGGAGGTGATTGTTTGGGTTTTCTGAGCCACTGGTCATGTCGTCATCTACAAATATTATTGTGGTGTTGTTTCAACAGATACACGGAATGAGGAGTGTTTAGAGAGAAAAAGGCAGATATATCCTAGAGAGATTTATCTCGAAAGCAACTTCTACCCTTCTGCTTGCTTATTTTCTTGTCGTAACGGAATATTTAAGGTCTAGAATATTTCACTCACTCACTAAAGTGAAAACATAGGTAAAATAAAAGTTTGTTTACCCTGATTTAAATTTAAATATTTTATAAATATAATTAATTTTAAATTAACAGTGGATAAATTTTTATTTTCTTATTTTATATTTTTCTTTATTTTAGAGGAGTTAAATTTAGTGTTTGATTGGTTGTTCTCAATGTTAACCTTTAAGATAATTAGTTAAAATTTTAAAAGTAAAAAATGTTAAAAGAAAAATAAAATCTTTCAAGTTTTTTATGTATTAAACGTAATATTTTTATAAATTATTTTTTTATTTTTTCTTAACGAGTATTATTAAAGCATTAGGTGCTTAATAAAAACTGTATTATAAAAATTAGAAATGAAAATAGCATAATATTATAATAAAGTGCATTAATATTACAATAATATAAAATAATATTAAAAATAAGTAATAGTATAAACATCAAGGTAAGTATTAAAAATAAAAAGTTGTAAATTGATATTATCATAATGAAAAAAATAAAATAATATTTTCAAAATGAAACGGTAATACATTATCCTAGACAATTATAAAAATATTCTATCGTATAACATAAAAATATAATAAAATAACTTAAAGAAAAATATGATATGATATAAAACATTTAAAAATTTTAAATAGTAGTTAAATAAGTTTAATATAATAAAAATAGAAATATGAACACTTTATAACGAAGATAATAATATATAATTATAAAAATATTATTAAAATAAAATAAAATTTCTCCATGTGTTACAAATACTATTCAATTTTTTGAAATTGTTCTATTCTTAATAGAATGGTATGAAAAGTTTTTTGGTAATATTATTTTTAGTTATATCATAATAAAAATGTGTAAACAACTGTGGGGTGTCAAGGTCTGGTGAAACTTTTTTCTTCTATGTAATTATTTATTGTAATTTTTGGTGAATGAATCTTGATGCATTTTTATTTAGATTGGGTGCTTTTTAGTTCTCTTTCGTATGTTCACGGATTGCTGCTCTAGTTTACAATATATGTAAGAATTGGTCCCAAGTTATAATAACTCTTGTGCTAAAATCAATGGTATAGCAAACAAGAAGTAATGGTTGAATCCTTCCACACAGCAATTAGACCTAACACAACAATACTGAAGAACTCAGAAAGTTGTAGCATTGTTAGACGTAGTTATATATATTCGAAACAAATTTTATATTTCCTGCTCTGCTCGGTCTTTATAACAAATGCATATTGATTATGGTTTCCGAAAATAGTGAGATCTCCTCGGAAAAATTCTAATATGCATACACTAGAACCACACGAATTAAATTTCCCAAAAAGGCTCATCAATAATTGATTTTACTTTCCCTGTTGGACTAGAATTCAAATTGAATCACAACACAATTATAAATGCATTTGGCGTGGAAAACATTAGAACTTAAAAAGCAATTGAGTTGTAAGGGCTAAACACGCAGTACTTGGACAATGAGATAAGAGCAATTCCCAAATCTATGTTTGCTAACAGCTCTCCTAAGTGTTTTGGCAATCTCTGGAATAATTATATATATGTTTTGGCAATCTCTGGAATAATTATATATATGTTTTGGCAATCTCTGGAATAATTATATATATATATATATATATATATATATATATATATATATATATATATGCCAAAGGAAGAATGTGTTTATTAACGTTAATCAAAATCAAATCGATTCACCAGGAAAAAACAAAAAAAAAAAACTTAACTATAGTGCAAAACAAGAGCCAATGAATATTCAAGCAAAACACTTTGCTCCAAGAAACAAAATTTGCTGGAAGCCTCTTACTTATCACATTTGGTTATTTGTATGCTTATTAAATTTAAAATTTAGTGAACTAGAACATCAAATATTTCATTAAAAATAATTACTCAAACACCCTCCTCAGGTATCAATTTGCAGAAGTTACTTTTTTTTTTCAGTGATTTTATATCAAATTAAGCTTGAGGAGGAAGAAAGTTACTAGATGAATTGTTAGCAACGTTGATAATATATTTTTAATTATAACTCCCTTCGCTAACAATTTAATTATACAAAACTATCATCATCGCTGACAGTCCATCTAGTAATAACTTTCCTCCTCCTCAAACTCAATACTTTTTTCTGCTATATCAATCACAGGGGAGGGTAAGTTTAATTTGTTGTGCTGATCTTTGTACAGAGTTGCAAAGCCATACTAATAGACTTGTTTAGTGCAATTGCATAGAAGGAACAATTTAATTCAATTGTGAACCTACATGAAGTAAGTTTATGAATGATGCTTTCAATTTTTGATTTTGCAAGTACACAAAACTGAGCAAAAGTATAAAACACAAATACCAAAAGGAACAATAAGTGTCCCACAGTTTAATTAATGCATCTCTTGGGGTTCTACACATTTTCTATCTTAAAAAATGAAAGCAACTAATCTTGATACTCGTAACGAGTTGGAGTTTTGGAAGAGGAAACAGCAACACAGCATGCATTAGTCATTTATTTATACTGCAACATTGATTGATAGATGTTGGCAATGATTGTTCTAAGAATAGAATCATGCATGTCTTCTACTCTGCACTCTATTGCCTTACGCTTCTCTGGTCAAAACCATTTGAAAAGATTCCATTCAAAACAACTGTGTGGGACCATTTGCAATTTTCTCATCCCTCCTCGCCATCTGTTGTACACGCCAAGAGCCACCATCTTCTTCTTCTCCTCCACTTCTTGTTACAATTTTCACTTAATTACATTCTTTACCTCTATGCATGATAATTATAACGTCAATGATTTTGTATGAAATGAAATTTTTATAAATTTAAATGTTAAATTATAATTATATATTATCTTAAATTATACTATAAGTACTTTCTACTGAAACAACAATTTCTAAGCTGGATAAGACAATCATGAGCATATCTGTTTAATTATAAAGTAAAATATCATTACATTCTTTAAAAAATATTCTAATAATTAATAATAAGTTTAAGGGTATTTGTGCAAAACAAATATAAGCTCGATTTAATTTTAATATCATTACGTTCCAAAAGCATATGCTAGAACAAAACTTAGTTTCAACCTTAAAGTATCTAGAAGTTTATTATATAAATTATTCATAACTACTAATACTAAATATCATTGATGTAGTATATGCTTGTAATGTTCAATTCTATGAGAAGATTAATTTGGTCAAGGCTGTCATGCTAACTTGTAATGACCAAATTGGATATATGACAATTTGTACGAAGCACGGCTTGGTTCAAAAACATGGAATCATTTCATTTTAATAAACAAAATCTTTTTTTCCCTTTGAATTAAATTCAACCAGCATGAGCCGACATGATTTTGAAAAGATATCAAAACCAAGCCATTCACTCAAGTTTTACTCTCGACATTGGTTGCATAGGCATATTTTTGTTGGAACATTTTGTGCCCTTCATTTCCTTCAACTATTTGAAACATAAGCCAATTTGGATTGTTGTTAGAACTTGGGACCCATAATTGTCAATCATCTACAGAAAGGAGGCCTTTAATTTTATGGGTTGCAAGCTTTGGATCTATAGATCCATAGCCATTGACCATTTGGGCCTTGTAAATGCCCTAATGTAGGCTCTATGAATGACAATAAATGATGTCAAGAATAAACAGTAAAAGAGCAACTAAAAAAGAGATAACCAGTACAAGAAAGGAAAGAAATGATTGAACGTAACAACAGCAAGTTGCCAGGTTGTGTTTACCTCGAAATAGAAAATTCTCCAACGTCTCTTTTCTGTAATTTCATCAATTAGATATTTACTTTTAGAAAATTTTCAAATTTTTTGAAAAAATGAATATAAAATTCATACATATATGTATATATAATTTTGATGATTTATTACAATTAATTTTATTAAAATCTAATTTTACTAATTCGTTTTAGTTTTATAATTAAAATTAGTTCTTCGCATGATTTTACTTAATACAATATAAGGGTGTTAGTGACAAAGTTAATATACGGGTACAAAGAATTGTCCATGTGTGATGTTCTAAATGTGTTGATTACTTGAAATTAAAATTTTATTTGTGAATTTTAAATTTAAACTTATTTATTTAATTAAATAAAAATTTTAATCAAATATTTAATGTGCTGAGCTCAAATAACTTATGAATAGCTAAACTCATTTTTGTCCTTACCTTTTAAGTATCTCTCATTATATCCAGTTAATATGTTGGCCTCTCTTTTTTTCAGGGTGGCTTGACCTTTGCCTTTTCTTTTTCATGTGACATCATTTTAATGTTTTTAAAGTGAAAATTGTATAAAATGAATAATTGAAACACTATTTATCCTTAATTTAAATTAAATATATATTTATAAAATGTCTTGATTAAATTAATGATAAATAAATATTTTTATTTAAAAGAAATAAATATTTTGTATATATATTTAGACTCAGTTTAAATAAAATTTTAAAAAAATATATAAAGGAAAAAATAATTTGTTTTCATATGTTTAAATTAAATTAATTTACGCACTACAAGTTTTGAAAATTTTTAATAAATTTAAAAAAATAAAAATAATTTGATTTTAATTTATAGGAAAATTTTGATTTATTTTATTTTTATGAATATTTTTTAAGAAAATTATATAAACATACCTTTAGTCTTATTTTCTTAACTTGCCTTTAATTAAGAATACCACATAGTATATTTTTTTAAAGGGTTGATGAAAAGGTTTTATTTCTTTATTTTTTTCTAGTGATGAAAAGGTGTTTTAAAAGAAGAGAGTGTGAATGATAATATAATTATTTTTAAATTGAAAAATATATACATTATTTACGATGATAAATAAATTTTTAAAACATTTAATATATGTTAATTTATCATTTTATATTTATTTTTAAAAATATATATTTCCTTCTTTTCAAAACATACCTTAAAAAGGTAATTAGTAATTTCATGGATGATGATAAACTTAATTAGTAAATTAGAAAACAGAAATATAACTGAAACACACATCCACACTCACTCAATAGATTATTAATGAATAAAATAAAGTGAAGTAAAGAACACACGAGAAAAGAAGGGAAGAGTAGACTAGGTGCTCCTCTTACTCATCTTCATGTATAAAACAAAACATAAAATATCTAACCATCGAAATTAATAATATGTAAAGACTGCGATACTCCTCATGTACTTCCCATGCATAAAATGAGATTGTTTGCTAACAAAAAAAATAATATAATGAAAAATCTGCAAATTTATTTTATAAAATTGATTTATATACCTTAATGTCAGCGGTGGAAGACCAGATATTTTGAGAAGATCAAACTAGTTAACATATTTATATGCGTTAATTTAATTTCACTACAAGAAGCATACGTATATACATAATATATATATATATATATATATATATAGAGAGAGAGAGAGAGAGAGAGAGGCTATGGCTCCTTCTCGCCCCTAAGATATGTCACTAGCAGTTGTATATGAACACGTTTTCAGCTGCAACCTTCAATTTTTATTTAATATAATCCATTGTAGCATATAATTTAGTGGCGATCCTTGCAGAAGAAGTCCCATGGAGACAAAAAATAATTAAGGAGATTATGATTTGATTGATTTTCTTCTAGAAGAGGGGCGGCGATTAACTTAAATACAAATCATAGGTTATGATTTAGAAGGGGATGAAAATCTAAAAGAATTAGTTAAATCAAATAATACACAATCTTACATTTCTTAAGTCACATATTTAATTAATTTTTTTTTCTTAGAGCAGAATGAATATAATTTCGTAAAAAAAATATTTTGAGTCCAGTTGCCTTTTTTTAAAAACATGATGTTATCTTTTCTCCTAAAATTGTCAAAATCAGTGAATGAGGATGAACAGGGAATGCTCTAACCGAGAAATTACAGAAATAACTTTCATAGAAACCGGTATATGAGAAAATATATGCAATTATTTGTTTTATCAGCAAAGTCCAACACATGCTGTTAACATATAGTTGAGACTTTCAAGTACAAAACTTGAGTTCCAAAAGTTTAAGATGACATTATTAAAGAAGCACAACTCTTACTTTTACATTTTGAAAATAATTAATATTTAATTATTAAGTGAAGATATCTTTATTGCATACACACACACACAAAAAAGTAGGATGAAAGCATTTATTTTTGCGAGTTCAATATGTCACGAGTACAAGTTAATTATTACTTTTATCAAATGCATCACTTCGTTTTAATTAATTAAATAACTATATATATATATATATATATATATATATATACATACATACAATTTTTGCATAAATATGAATTACTATGACTATACACTTTTAAAACTATTTGTTTAAACATAAATTCATAATCATTATAGTTTTTGAAGAAATATCATGTAAAAATATAATTTTTTTTCTTTTGAAAGATACATGAGTCCTTAAACACTTTAAATATTTTTATTAATTTATATAAATAATTATTATATTAAACTTTTACTATAGCTTTATTAATAATTGAATTTGGGGGTGTATAAGACCAGACCCATCTCACCAATTTAGTGATAAATCATTATATCTTATTAACTCAATAAAAATTAAAAATAAAATAAATTATCCTGTATATTTTTGTATAGTTGTCAAACGAATCCTGAGTTATATACGAAGGAAAAGAATACAATAATCTGAAAGCATGGTTGCATATATCTAATTATATCCTTATTTTAGAACCCTTGGTGGGTACGTTAGGGAGCTACAAGTTTTGGTTTGCGATGATGCGAGAATCTAGTAATAGAAGAACCCGTGAATAATGTCTGGCCCGCATGGAGATGAGGCATTCTTTTCCACTCATCATCAATATGCCTCTCTCTCTCTCTCTCTCTGCATGCAGAATATTGCAGAACTACACAGTAACATGAGGAATATATTGTAAGGGAATTAGATGAAATTAGAAAACCAAGACTGAAACACTATTATGAGATTGTTATCATAACCCCATATGTATGTGTGCATCAATCACTTAGAAAGAAAACAGAATATATCTATTAATCGATCGACCTGATAAGATTCATATATGTTCTCATCATCGTCTTAAAACGTCATATTATGTGAAAGCGTGCACCAGTCATAAAGTAATTTTCTGTTACTCTTAACATGTTACATCCATGGCATGCATGATCGAGTGTGTGCTGATCTAAGAATGCGTCAGCTTTTACTTTTCAAGTTCAGAAATGCTTGTTGTTAAAAAAAATTAATTTATATTTTAAAGGCACTTATTAGTATAAAATACAGGATTTTCTACATAAAGCGTTAAAAAGGTAGGCGCCCACATCTCAAACAATTATCTTATTTGATTAATTGGTCAAAATTGAAAGGCCATCCATCAGCCACATCATAATCTTCAATAGTATGCAAGTGTGCTCAACAAACTTACTCATCCAACTTTCCAAGTCTATGAACAATTTCCTGCAAGAATTTAGGGAGAGAATCGATCCAACTCAAGGCTAATTTTGAAAAGTTAATTTTACAAGAATTTAACTGAGTTATCCCATAAAGTAAATAATTCCATCTTTAACTCAAATCAATTTAGCCGTGAAGTCTCTTTAAATTAGGACGTCGTTATCTATCTATATGCATGGATACTAACTTTCATTTAATAATCTAAGCATATGTAATCTGCATATCTTCCTCTGAGAAACTAACTAAAGCTAAATTTGAATCTAATCGTAATATTCCTGCTGATTCCTTAAGCTAGGATGAAAAGAACCCACATTGGATTCCAAATTATATACATGTACGTATACCTGAAGAGTAAATCTGAAACTGGCCGTGTGTAGTCACAAAGATCTAATTTATGATGATGGGTCCTATTTCATACACGCCTAAGGTTCATGTAATGGTTTGCATGGCTGCTGCTACGGTAGTAGCCCACGCATGGCCCTAAAGTTAGCGAATGCCAATGTTTATGCCCACAAAGACAATTTTGACCTTTAAGCCAATGCAAGTTTAAACAGCAACCTATAGCTGATTTTAATCAATGAAATGGCTAAAATGGACAATTTGTGCTATCCTTCCGTAGCTTTAGATTTGGGTTTGGAATAAAGAGTAAGAAAAGAAGAAAAGAAGAAAACTTTGCAAATTCCCCTTAGTGGGGTTTCTTTGAGCACTTTCTCTACAAACTAGGATGCAAGAGAATAACACTCTAAGATAGAGTGGCAGAAAATCCTCAAGAATATAATGGTTCAATTATTTGATATTAAATTCCACGAACCAAATAATAAGCTTGAGGAAAGTATATATATACACACACATGATCGAGAGAACATGCTATTTGGATGAGTTATGAATTATTGTATATATCATCGAAAAGGTTTAAGACTACGATCGAGAACTTTTTTATTTTTTTATAACTAAAACCATAAGAACTTTAAAAAGTATATTTAAACACGTATACATTTTACAGGTTTTTTTCGTTGTTGTGCCATATTTTTAATACGGTGTTAAAATTTTATGTTAAACCAATTGCTACTTAATTATTAATTTTTGAAATGCATAAAATTGACGGAAGAGCTATGTTCTCTGACAAAGTTTTATATTTCAAGGAATTTGGAATTCACTGATCTGGCCCTTATATTGCCATTTGCTACTTAGTTTCATATATGTATAATATAAAGAAACGGATGGATATGTACCTGTTATTATCCTTTGCAAAATATATGATTATTGCCAGATTATCATTCCATACGTGTACTGTATAAGTTGGATGCCAATTAGTGAATCAATCATGTTAGTTGTGGGGTTATCTCGGCCAATATGCCTTTCACAAGCTTTTCTAGCTTCTCCTTCTTCTATTATATATTTCTTAATTATCGTGCAATGCCTCTTTTTTAAAATCATTCCGAGGCCCTTTTGAGATTTGGGTGTTTATCACATTAACAAAAGAAAAGGTAGAAGTGCCATCAGACCCTTGCCAAAATGAAAATTTCTAATCTTATATATATTTTTCCTATAAATACTGAAAGAGACGTATAAATAATAAACTACAAAAGTGTTCAAGAGACTAACAAAAGTTGACTTGATTCTTGTTAAATAATTTTTGGAATCCAAATTTTGTAAATGATTTTATTTTTACTAAAAAAGCTAATTTTATAATATTATAAACTTTTCTGACTTAAATAAGATATCTTACGTAAAAAGTGCTTATAATAAAAAAAAAGTGTGCAAGCGATTTTACTTATTTATTTGTCATAAAAATCATAAAAGTAAAAGGAAAATTTTACGAGTCAAATGGGTGAGGATACTTCCTGGTCTTTGCCCGGTCACTCCCGTCATCCACCTCTATCTTTTTCTCTCAGCAGACTTCTTGGCCTTTTTTAGTCCCATTGGCTATTTTTTTTACCCAAGTTTCCTTTTTTGTTTAATCTAATTTAAATATGTATTATAATTTGCCACCACTTCCTCCTTAGGCTACCACTGTCATCATCACCTTCTCTTCTATATACTCTATTATTATCTACAAATACCCAGTTACTGAATTTTTCTTTGTACATTCAAATAGATACACTAAGAAAAAAACAGGTTATTGAGTACTGATGAGATTGTGCATGCTGAGGAAATATCTTTTGTTTTTTTTCAATGTTTTTGATTGCATGGTGGATTCTCTTGATGAATATGATTCTCCGTAGATAGACACACGCACACACACATACACAGAGAGATTGGAAAGAGATATATGTGTATATGTCTGAAATAATTGTGCAGTGTTAGTTCAGACAAGCAATCCATGGCCTAGACAGCGACTTGAAAAATAACCCACCATCATCATCTCCTCTCTTCACGAGATTAATTATTTAATTTAACTTTTTATTTATTTTTATTTTATTTTATCACAAAGTGAATGATGCCTTTCTCTGTCCATGTGTCACTGCCACCTGTTCACTAGCAAGACTGCTTATAATTATTAGTTGTGTCCTAACCAAAGTTAGGATTTTGCATTTCTTGCCTCTCTAAGGTGCAAAAAGTGGCCATCACGAAACCAAAGTAATAAATATATAGCTGCGATTTGTAGCAAACAAACAAACCAAAACATTAGAATATCGTATCTTGCTTTTCTTCTCTTTTTTCCTCCAAGTTGGAGTTTTTCTTCAAAGGCAATGTTCCCTGCAGTTATGTCCAATTCGAATTCTTTGTCCGAAGAGGCCAGTGTTTCCTCTGGTACAAGAATTGGCGGACTTAATCACGTAGTCACAAACAATATTTATCCACAGCAGCCTCAGAAAATCAAGAAAAAGAGAAGCCTCCCTGGAAACCCAGGTAACTTCTATTATTTATAATCTCTTTGGATTATTAATACAACATATATTTGTGTATATCCCTTCAATTGATTATTAATTGATCATTATTTATTTGATGACGTGCTAGTTTCTAATTTTGTTACATGTTTCAGACCCAGATGCTGAAGTGATTGCTTTATCACCGAAGACTCTTCTAGCTACTAATAGATTTGTGTGTGAGATCTGCAACAAGGGTTTCCAGAGAGATCAGAACCTTCAGCTTCATAGGAGAGGGCATAACCTTCCTTGGAAGTTGAAGCAAAGGAACAGCAAAGAGGTGAAGAAGAGAGCATACGTTTGTCCAGAACCTTCATGTGTTCACCACAACCCCTCAAGGGCTCTAGGGGACCTTACAGGAATTAAGAAACACTACTGCAGAAAGCATGGAGAGAAAAAGTGGAAATGTGACAAGTGCTCAAAGATCTATGCGGTTCAGTCAGATTGGAAAGCTCACTCCAAAACCTGTGGTACTAGAGAATATAGATGTGATTGTGGAACCCTTTTTTCCAGGTACTCATATATATCACGTCTACTGTTTATCTAGTAATTTTTAATTAATTGTTCATATATCGATATAAATCAAATCCATTTTTTCTCCTGTTGATGAGTTTTTACTGTAGATGGGGAGTCTCATGTTTATATATCAAAAGGGCTTCTTTTATTATTTTTTGTTTTGGTGGGTCTTTGTTCTTACATAACAATGGTAAGTTTTATTTCGCCCTGGAATTTTTCTTTGCTTTAAAAGTTTAAATGCCATGGCAGGTTGCATGAAAGTAGACACAGCTAATATACAAGTGTCAATTTGCAAGAGAGACTGAAACTTTACCTGTTTCTCAATCCTAAAACTGCCAAATGAATGAGCGGCAATTAACAACAAAAAACACAATCCACACCTATTTTGTTTTTGTCTACTGTATTATCTGTGACTCAATAGCATTTTGTTGGTGTTAATTTTTATTTTTTTTCGCAATTTACCTCATGATGCATGCACATGCATGTCAGCATGAAGACCATGATATATACTATTTTTACATTATGTCCAAAAATTTGAAGTCTTCAATTCATAGGGTTTTAGGCTACACAAAAATTCCAAGTGTGTCAGAGTGTGCTCAATTGTTTTCTAGACTTCTACTCTTTCTCTCTCTATGCAAATATGTGCGTATATGGAGTGGCTGCAGTCTCTAAGAAAATGATGGAGATCTATTTTTGTCTACTGAAAAGTAAAAGAAGTATAATTAATATTGTTCGAAAATTTGTGATGATTTCTTACTTTTTCTTAATTTTATTTTATTGAAAACACCATTTTTTTTGTCTGAACCTTCATCATTGTGAAATCTGATAAATCTGCAAAAATATCTGATATGCTAAGTTACTTTCCTCTTGCTTCATCAATGGATACATGGGATTCATTTCAATTGCTCATCTGTGAGTCGTGCATGAGCTCTGGTTTCCCAAAACTTCCGTCATCATAACAAACATTACCAATAATCCTTCCACTTTCTGAGTCAATAATGATTTTTGATAAAACTTAGTATTTTTTAAAATTAAAATTGACATTTTATTTTGATAATAACTATTATTTTAATGCCCGTTTTAAGTTTTGTACAATAATTTTATGCCCATTTCTGCATGCATAAAGCATAAGGGCATCCATCAATTGTCATTCATTTCTGCGCCTCTCTCTCCTACTTTAAATTTGACCTGCGACATAACTCATGTCCCATTTTGTATAAGCCTTTTGCACTTATTCAATCCGTGTGTGGAGTGTGGACTATTGCCCCCTCTCCCATGCATGATTTTCCTCACCTTTTTGCAAACGGGGCACATTCCACAAGGACGTAATAAGCCCTCCTTCGGTTATGCAAACTTCACATTTCCATGCACAATGCACTTCATCCACAAGAAAAGCAAAGCAAAAATCCATTACTTCCATTCACACCTTTTTTTAACGGTTTTGATAAGGCTGCTTTTTTTATTCAACCTTTTATATTTTTAATATAATACATATTTTAAATTTTATTTTGTCATTTTAGTTCTTTAACATTAATCATTGAGACTAATGTTAATACAACTCTATAACTAAATAATAATAAAATGCTCTAAACCCTCAATTTCTTAATTAATATTACTAATAAACAAATTTAAGATAGAGATCATTTTCCCCTCCCCCATGTCAAAATTCAGCCTTCCCTAGTTATTACACCACATATTGAATAAAACAGGAGTAACGAAACCCTTTTCTCCCAGTTAATTAATTAACTCATCTCGTTTTTTTTTTTAGTTTCTTGGGTAATGCCACATACATGCAGGAATAAAGACTTGTCTTCTCTGCATTGCAGTTAATAAAGCAATTTCGTGTTTGTTTTATTTGTATAAAAAACTGCAGGAAGGACAGCTTCATAACTCACAGAGCATTCTGTGATGCATTGGCTGAAGAAAGTGCAAGACTGACGGCAAACCAAATAGCCACAACCAACACAAACCCATTAGTCCCCTCCCTCTTTCTCTTCCCAACCCAACACAATAACTTCCAAAACCACATCACTCCTTGGGACCCATCTCAACAAAGCCCTAACCCTAGCAACCTTACTTTGCTCCACCCCAACATCAAGCCTGAAGCTCAAAACTTTCACATCCCCAACAACGCCCCATTTCTTCATCAGCACCAAAAGAACATGATAACCTCACCCTTCCGTGATCTCCACGTCCGCACCTCCACCGCTGCCACGTCAGCACACCTCTCGGCCACTGCACTTCTCCAGAAGGCTGCAACCGTCGGTGCCGCTGCCATCACGGGCCCTACTCAGCAGAGTCACGTGACTCACCTCAGCATGTCCGAGTTCGGAACCATGACTCAGCTCGACTCGGTGCCACCCGAACGCTACATGAACATGAGAGGCCTAAATACTACTTCCAACCTTAAAAATAATGACCGTCTCACGAGGGACTTTCTGGGCCTCACCGGCGATACCAACGGCGGCGCGGTTGACGTTAGCATCGACATGAAGGATATGCTAACGTTTACGGGGGGTAGCGTAGAGTACCAACAACAACCTTATGAGCACCATCACAACTCAATTTTCAAGTCCCAACAAGGATTTGGATTCCTTGGTACGACAACTGCCCCCGAATCGTGGGGAAATTGTTAACATAAACAAAAGAGTGATTCCAAAACTATGAGCTAGGGTAGATTGGGCAACTCAATTTCCTTTGTCTTGAACCTTGTACGAACTTGTATTTTAGCAAAACTTGAATACATGCAGTATCATGGTTTTTTTTTTTTTTAATTAGAATCGACATTTTATTTCGATAATTGCTGGCGATTCTGATTATCGAGATAAGAGTATCAATTGCAAATGTCTATTTATAAACACCAAACATAGTACTTGTGGTACTGGTATTGTATTTAAGTTTTGGCTTATTTTTACTCCTATGAACTACAATGTTAAACGCTTTATATATGTTTCTTAGATGAATCATGAATGTGTTTTAGGTTTGACACTGTTTCCTTTTTTTCCTTTGTCCTTATAGAGTTGTTTTCTGAAAGTACACTCCTTATTTCTTTCTAGTTTCTGTTGTTATACAAGTATACACTAAATGCTAACTTAATTAATTAATGAGATGAATATAATATAGATGCATATATAAGTATGTCTGCTAGCTATACATGCATTGGTGAAATGTAGAATATGTTTCTTCAATATGTGAGGAAGACTGGTAGCTCCATGTGTATTGCGCAGATGGAGTTGAGAGGAAACTACAGTGGCCTTTCTTGTCAGTGTGCAAACAGAGAAAATGTCACATGCAAAATTATAATGATTGGTCCTTTTGTTTTTATCACTACCAATGTCCTATCTTTGTATTGACAGCTTTTGATCTGGTGCTACACTGCTACTACGAAAATTGGTTTGTTGGATATTTTATTTTCCCTTCCAATCTAAATGTTTATTAATTATTTCGTAAAATTTTTAGTTCCCTTTTATATATATAATTTTAAAATGTTATATACCAAAATTTTAGAGAGAGTTAAAAAATATGAAAACTCAAAATTTGTCATTTAACAATTTTTATATAAAATTAGTTAAATTCAAAAATTGTGAATGACAACTTTTATATAAAATTAAATAATTTATAGATGATGATTTTTTTAATTTTTATAATATGTAAAGATAAAACAAAAAATATTTATTATATAAGAAATGTAAAAATTATTTAATATTTACTTTTATAGAAAATAATTAGAAATATTTAATAAAATACATTTAATGTTTCTTAATATTTTTTAGGAAAATCATTAACAATTTTTGAAATAATAATAATAATAACTTCTTACAATATATGTACTGCAGCACAATGTCAAATACGTATGTGCACTTTCACAAATATGTTATATATGTTATGTTGTAAGTTTTTAATAAAAAAAAAATGATTCTCTCAATTCATTTAAATTACACAATATTAATTTAAATTTTTTAAGCATCACAAGAGATACAAATTAAGACCAGCCAAATGGCAATAAGAAGAATAAAGGGAGTTCCGATTGAAACAGTTGGGCATATCTCACTTGTGTATGTTGTCTCATTTTAAGAGCATTACGATTATCCATATATCTGGCATATTAAACGTTTTGTGTTACCTCATTTCTCTCACTTTTTTAATATCAAATTAGCTTTAAAAAGCCATGGCTATGATATGATTTATATACTTTTTAAGTTTTAAATCTTCGGAATAAGTCTACTTCTATTTTTTTTTAAAAAGAAAATATAATCAAGATTTTGGACCTTCCATCATCTTGTTTGTGTTTGTTAATTATAAATATTTTCATTTTTTTTCATGTCACAAGTAGAGCCAAGTACACGTTGTACACACGCGTTCAATTGTGTATTAGACTTGTCTTTGTTAATATAGATTTTTTTCTCAAAAGAATAGAAGTATTATGATAAATATTTTCAATCTATACTAGCAATCATGATGTATTATATCAATAAATAATATATGTGTGCTTCTTTAGTGCATCATAATGTTATAACGATATTGTATACTGTTAACACAAATTTATAATATTTTTTAAATTTTATCAAACGAACTATATCAATGAGAACAAGTCAAACAACTAACCTTTAATAATTATGAAAGTTTTTTAGTGGTAAAGCATGGTCCACAGCTTTGTTATTTTTCAAATACAAACTTGGTATATTTTATTGGTGGTCCCTCTAAAAATTTGATACATGAATGTTCTCATTCCATCTCATTTAAAAGAAAAATAATTAATCAAATGTGGGTGAAAATTAAAAAATTATATATTAAAGATTGGTGAAAAGTGAGAAATCATATGTTCCTCCTTTGATTAATAGACTAGTTTGACTTAGTTTGACGTAATCGATTTTCTTGCATCAGTAGCAATTATATATGTACGCATTGACCAAGCTTTTTAAATAATCAAAATTATTAAAACAAATGAAATTGGATACAATAATGTTCTTTATGCAAATTACTTGATTGTTTAATTAAAAATAGATTAGCGATACCACAAAGACAACTTTAATGAAAAGGTTATTTTATTCTATGAATCAAACTGCGTAGCACATATCTAAAAAAAATGTCAATATTACTCTATAGTTGCATTTACGTTCTAATTCTAAAGCAAAGTCAAGTCGTTATGAAGGTTCCAAATTCTAAAATTAAGTTATTACATCAAAACCTCTAAAAAGATTTTTATTTTTTTTCCCAAGGCAGTAATCATACTCAAGACACAGTCAATCATTAAATGTGAATACCTCTTTCAGTGAAAATATTTCAAACCATATATAATTTTCAATTTTATAGAAGACTAACCCCTTCTAATAGATACAAAATCTCATCATTATTTTAATAAGGATATGTATGAAATTAATTTTATAATTTTAATTAGTATCTTAAAAAATTGATATTTTTGTTTGAAGGTTTAACGATTCTATTAATGTTGAGCACTGGTTTCTGACCAAAAAGAAAATAGACCGATGAACCAGCCCACAGTTTACTTTCCACAAGGTATATGTCTTGTGCTGAAATTTAATTATAAAAATTGAAGTATTTTTTTCTGTTCAGCCCACCTAATTTTAACGGATTTATGGGTCAGCTCGATAGGTTTGACTCGAATTTACAGCATAAGATATCATAAATTGTGACAATAATCACTAGCTTTTTGTATCTACTTTTCTTTTTCAAAACCCTTATCATATAAAAAACTTACATAAAAATAAATACTCCCAAAACTTTCTCACACTAAGTTTTTTTTTTTTTTCCTGTGTCATGATCTATTTTAAGCTTTTAAATAACATTAATCCGGATAAGAATATAAAATGGCATTGTTATGCTTGTAATCAAATAACTAGCTGAAATGATTTATCCAATATAGACAAAATCAGAAGAAATGGAACGCGAGAAAAAAAAAGAAAAAAGTTACAGATGTCTAATTAATTTACCCTATTTGTTATCATACGCACGCCGGTTGACCAACGTGACTAATGAAAAAAAGAGTTGAAATTTTACATTAAAATGTAATGCAGTTAGATATCTAATTAATTTACCAATTATGCTCAAAGGTTAAGATCATAAATAAACCAGAGATTTTCTGTCTTCGTTCTTGAATTTCATAAAACCCATGATAACTTATATAGTCATTGTTGTCTGCATGACTAGAGATGCATTTACTGATAATATTAAGAAAAATAACAGATAAATATGTATAATTTTGTATGTATAAATTATGTGTTCCTAGACTGTAGATAAATAAAGAAATGATATGATATTCTATGAATTTAAAATTAGTAAATAAAATTACCAGAAACTGTACGAGAAGAACAACCTCTATTCAAAATCGGAGGCATATTCCTCCTAATTAGAAAACTTGTTGAGGCGTTGTTTTTTCTTTTTACGAAGGGTATGTATTCCAAAATTTTAAGATAAAATATACTTTTTTTTTAAAAGTAAAAATGTGCGCTTAGGTTATCACGTAAATGAGGTGATCGCATGTCGGCAAAGGTTATGTGTCACAAGTGACTGAAATGTCCTTGTCCCGACCCACATTGTGTGGACGAGCAAGTAATGTTTTGGACAAACTTCATACGCTCAACATTCAATAAGCATGTCAAATATAATTATGTAAAAGAATTAACACAAAAATGATGGTTGTACTTCTAGTATTTTTTATTTAAAAAACCCCTCTATAATCGGTGAAATTAATAACCATAGCTTGTGTTAAAAATATTGTGATAGTTGATTTTAATTAACTTGAACATTATTTGTATAATAATTTAGTTTAAGTCTCTGTCCGGATAGCGAATGATGTGGATTGTCTAGGTCGTGCTTAAGAAGTGACGCCATTTTGGATTTAGTAGCTAAATGCCAAAGGCCTTCATGTCCCTAGCTTTTGTCTCTATCTGTGCCATGCAAGACTTGGCTCCATAAGGGTCAAGAAGGCCATTATTATTTCAAGTTAAATTCACCTAAATATTTTTTTGTGAATGATATTTAGATGGAAACAGCTCATCACTGCTTTTTTGTGAATTCCAAATCATAGCCCGTGAATCAATGAGGTCTCTAAGTAATTGTGATTACCATCCCACATATTACAAACCATGATAAGAGCTGTGTCTATATGGGTCCCCAAAACTAATTTAAGATGAAAAAGGTGCAACCATAATGCAACCATGAAGCTAGCAATTCGAACAGACAAGTCAAGAAAGAAAGCATTTCCACATACACATGTGTGTTCCATTCCTAGCAATTTTGAATAAAGATTGCAAACTATGGTTTAGTAACTTTGGGAATGCTGGGGCTGGCCACATTTATTGCCTAAAGCATTGACCAAATTCCAAGAAATTCTTTTTCTCAACACTTTTTCTTTTGAGGGATGAGGGGAAAAAATGGATAATTTTGAAGAAAAAGAGGCGCTCCGAAACATGCAATCTAGCTTATAAGCGTGAGTGAAAAGGCAACATAAACTCAAGGTGTATGTATATTTGTGCGAAGTGTTATGGTGGTCCGGGTCACATAGGGTGGTAATCAATTAAAAGGAAAAGAGAAAAGATGCGGACAGAAAATAAAGGAAAAGATTAAAAGAAAATGTCAACGGTTATGAGAAAATGCTTCATGTACCTTTGAATTGCCATTCTTGGCCATCTTTCTGTGTACCCTTTATCAACTTCTGTGCCACACACAAATTGTATATAGGCTTTGGTTGGCTACTAAATGCACAAATGCAATTCAACGTTAGTTTACATGTGTGTGGTGTGAAATAACCCTGTTTTTATTCATGTAAATTGAATTTCATAAATGAATTAGAATATATCGTACTCTATTATAATCAAATCTTTTTTGCGTATAAAAAAGTGCTCACATGAGCCATTAATTTGTCAATTTTAATTTAACAATGATCCTAAACAAGAGTAAATCCGGTAAGCAGTAAATTTTGTTGTAAATGGATAAAATTGATCATTAACTATTGATTATTTTTCAAAAAATGACTCATTTAAAGGGGGGAAAAGGTATATTTTAGGAGGTAAAATGTGGCAATCTCCAATTAAATAACTAATGACTAAAGTTTAACAATTTTATAATTTATTGTGTATGTGTGTACAATCTCAATTGTTGATTCTCTAATGAGTACAGCTCTTCTTTTTTGTACTTCCTACTTTAAAAGAGTTATATCCTTTCAAAGCAGTAAATTCTTTACCCGACTCAATTTCCATTCTGGATACTATAATTATTTCACACATTGCATATTTTATTAGGTACAATGTCTATTTTATTGATTAACATATCACGTATCTATTAGTTAATGAACTCACATCACATCGTCGTCATCGGCATCATTATTATAACATGTTATCGATTTCTTGATCGATCAATCAATCAATACAAAATAAGATATAATTTAAGGATACAAAAAAATAACATTTCTCCAGACATAGTAAAGCTCCTCAAAATGGAAACCCAAAGAAGTTTATTTAATTGTTGGAAATTATATCATGGTTGGCATCAAAGTTGTGCTGCCATGCTGAGCATATAAGATAACAAAAGGAATGAAGAAAGTTCCGTGTAACTAAATCATGGTATATTCACTGCAAGAGAGGAGAAGGAAAAGAGCATGGGGATTAACAAAAGAAGGTGGTGTCGGGTTTTATAGTATATTTAGGTGTGGGTGTTATGGTATATCCAAGCTTTTAGAAAGTATATTTACAAGTTGCAGGTTAAGGTACAATTTATCCCATTTGCCTACTTAAAGAGACTTTCTCTTTTCATATCCCTCTGCGGTAAAAGGAGAAAAACCAAAAGCCTCTTCTATTCTCTCCCCCTTCTTTATCTCTCAACATACTTGCATATGTCATCTTCCACAAGGGAATCTCATCCCAACCAGCCTTCCTTTTTTCATCTTTTTTTTTCCCTACAATGCTAATAATTACCTAAACTTTAGTTTCGTCCTATTCTACCTTTTCCTTCAGCTGCAAATCTCCACCAGACGGTGATATTCTTAGATTACATTATCCTTGGACGGTGACATTCTTTGTCTACCCACTTGGAATATTAATCTTATTAGATATCCGAAATTAATTTCTAACTCGATTATAAAAATTTAAATAGAACGCTCAGAGTCAGATTTAGTGCCCATTTTTTAATCTACCAAAATTGATTTTTTTTTCATTTCATGGCACATGTTCTAATGTACAATCTAAAACTGAAATTGAATTAGATTTATGTACTTCAATCAAATTCAATATTCGAGATCAACTCTACCAAAATCCAAACCAGCCAAATATGTTTTCAGGAGCAACAACTTTCACATATGCTGGAAATTTCAAAACAACGCTGATGTAAAAAGATAGAAAGAGTACAAGTGAAAATTGGGTGCAAGAAAAATGGAGCATGATATTACTATCTACTATTATATATTACATGTGAATTCTTGATTTCAAACAAAAGCATTTTAAGAATAATCTTAAATAAAAATATTTTAAAAATTACTTTCTTTCTCATTAGACCATACAAGTTCTTTTATATTGAACATTTAGTTTTATTATTTAATCTTAGTTTAAAACTTTCATAATTAAAAATTTTAAATCTTTAATTTAATCTTATTTAATTTATAACTTCTTAAAATTTATAAAATTTACTAAATTTAAAAATAATCGTAACTCTAATTTTGTATTTAAAAAAATATTTTAATATAGTACATGTTATATTGATAATAGTTCCTCTTTTTTAGTGGAGAACGTTAGCAACAAACAAAAATATTAATTTATTATTTACAAAGTCAATTTAGTTAGCTAACAGAGAAGTCATTTTTTACGTGGTAATTTAGAAAATAAACTAATAATAAAAAGGGTATTCAAAAAGCATTTTACTAATCTTTCTCTTTTCAGAAATTAATATGCGATGAGAAAAGAAGAATGCCGCAGAGTGCAGGTATTAATGACGTGAATAAAACTAAAATATAAGTATGCACGGTAGTACGGTACCATCAGATTTGCACGCGATGTCGGAAATTCTTCATCAACTGATATTAATGCCAATAAGTTGTCCAAGTTGGTCATCTTTAGGCTTTAGCAGGTCCCTGCTTGATCTGGTCCTTGTTTATCAAGACAACGCTTTCTTTAACCTCATATAATAGTGCCTCACTCGAGGTAAAACATATTTAACAATGCCGCAGAGGGCATGTTTGGCTACTCCGGAGTCCGAACTGGGAAATTTTTCATTTCAGAAAGGAAACGTTAATGAAGGGGCCAAAGAATCAACCCAATAGAATTTCGATGTGTTAATTCAACGTATTAATCAGATAGCGTGTATGCAACTGATGTTGCCTATACAACCCAGAATACAGTTCAAATTAGTGATGATTTATCCACTAAAATCTACACTGTTGAAACAAAAGCGCAGACCCAGACGAAGAGAAGGTTCAGTTTCAAATCCTCATCAATGTACTCTTTGGAGGTACCCGTGGGCCCAATTCATTCATAAGTTTCACTTCACTTGGCATCTACAGACCCGGAAGAAGGAAAGCTTTAATTCAAATATGCATCAATTTACTCTCTGGAGGTACCTGTGGGTCCAATTCATCGATAAGGTTTACTCCACTTTGCATCTCATCTAAACCCTAACTTTGAGCTTTCCAGATTCACTCCCACAAATTTATCCAATACATTCTTAAATGCCTGAATCACACAGGAAAAGGAAAGGAATGAAAACAAAATGAATATTTTAATTCCATGCACTTCAAAATTGAGTTAATATTTAATAAAATTAGCTTTGATTAGTTTAATTAAAACACTTCACATTTAAATGAATATGCATTTGTCTGAACTGCAAAAATCTCATAACCCAAATGCATATTCTCTTCCCTCTCATTTATGAAAGTGAAACTAAAGTCTCAATGCACATGCAGGGCAGCCAATGCCAGAGACTCATGCACTGAAATAATGATGAGGATAGAGACTATTGAAAAGAGAAAAGATGCCATCGTCAAAGTATATTTAGGAAATCTGTCACTCTCGGGGAAAAAAAAAAACAGAACAAGACAGTCAAAATTGTCAAAATCACTCGATACCAAGAAATGAATAACATTTTCTTTGGTCAGCAAAAAATGAATTTGAATCCGAATTGAAAATGACCCATACACAATACAAAGAATATGTTATGAATGTTAAGCCAAAGCATATAAAAATATTAATGAATATGATAAATCACTGAATGCTAGAAACAAAGTTAGAATAGCAGAAATAGGACAAGAAATGCATACTGAGGTTCGAATAATGCAATCATTGCCAAATTGTTACATCAAAAAAGACAGGCATGACTGCAACCTCTTTGTCATGCCCATTTATTTTCATGATTAGATAGGCAGCAGCTGTAACTGGAACGAAAATAGCCTCCCAAGTTTTCCTAGCACTAGTTCATCCAAGATAAGTCATGAATCGAGCCCCAGATTCCAACAATCAAATAGGTTTGTTACAACATTAAATATAATGCTCGTACAGAAGAATTTATCTGATCTACATTATCAAGAGGACATCACAAATGAAAGGATATGGTCAAACATTCTAAGGCATGTGAAAAAATTGATCCTAACTCATATTTTGGCGTTGCTAGGCATCTAAAGCAGTAGCAATGAAAACAAAAAGGAGAGACATTTAACCAAGTGGAAAAAGATGAATGGGTAATCAACAACTGCTGTTCACTTTCTTTCACCCAAGTGAACTAACTAGTATTACATGAACCACATGGACAAAAGAAACAGAGGTAATTCCTTAGTAAGCTTTTAAAGTTGGCTTGAGTTAGATGGTTCATGGTTTAAAAAGAGTACGGAAATACAGATGTTTGGTTTCCTTACTAGCCAAAGTCCTAACGAGCAAAAACATTTCTCATAAATGTTGAAGCTCACAAGCAATAATAAGTATCCAACTAAATATATAAGTAAATTTTGCAAAAAAAAAAAATGCTACAAGGATAAATTCAGAACATTAAATTCCACAAGATAAAGCTAAAGCACAGGTCAGCAATTACCAGTTGAGTGAATAATTCCTTCCCTTTTAGAATTGAGTTCATTGCTGCAGATTGGTCATCAAATGCACTATAGAAAACCTCATAGAATTTATTCCTATAATTACAGAGGCGGCCAAAAAAACTGGACGTTATCTTCTTGACAAGAAATTACATGAAACATTTATGGAGATATTACATATAAGTACACACCTATCTTCCTCAAGTGTATGATGATCCATCTCATCAAATTTCCGAGTAAGGACTTCAGTCCCAACTGGTGAAAGTACATGCAATACAAGCGCCTCTAAAGTTCTTGGGAAGTTGTGCTGAAAATAGTTTTAGGTAAATAACTTAATTAAGCGCTTATTCAATAAATTCTTATTACAAGTGAGCTTATGCCATAAATAGTCCAACATGCTTAAAATAATACACACACACACAACATAAAAACAAATAGCAACAACATATGGATAAAAAATGAGGAGATTTAGGTATAATCAAGTCGCAAAAGTAGCAGTCAGCCCCATATCATTGATAGATTAAAAAAGTACACAAAGCAGAATATATAAAATTAAAAGAAAAATATGTATCTCATCCAACCCAAGCATCAGTTGTACAGAATACAGGAGAGATGAAGGAAAATCAGCTCCCTTTCAAATAGGAAAAATATTCTCTTGGGAAGAGAGAATTGCCTGAAAACATTCCACAGAGAATGAGAAACATAAACAAAACGTATCTGTCAGGAAGGATTCCACTGATATGATCAAATAATAATGCCTTATGTCTAGCATAACTTGTTTTAACCACAATCAAAACACTCAAGCCACAGTTCCAAGTACCAAGAAGTGCATAAAGAAAACCAAACTTCTTTGACATGTGCAAGCTATTAAAGTAAACACAAACTCACTGCCATAGCAAGAAAGACGTATTGGAGAGTTTGTGGTTCAACATCCCAGAGAATTTTTGCAACTGGATCGTCTTTCAAGTCATCAGTAACTATTTTCTCACATTTACTTTCCCCTTCAAGCTTATAATCATTTATAGAAGTTGATGGTGATTCCTGATCCTGGTTGGCACTAACACTGATGTGAACCAAAGACATAAGTTCATGAAGCACCTGGACAGCACCAGATTCTAATTCTAACAATGTGTTCCCCTCTTCAAGTCTTTTATCTTTTAAATCCATCCCTTTCAACTTCTGACTATAATTCCCATTAACATGATCTGACAATTAGATTATTAAGGCCAGTTAGACAGCCAATGGCAAAAAAATAAGCTGGAAATTTATTTTTTGCATGAGACAATCATTGAAATGAACTACATCAAATCCACCTCATAATTCACTTACCTGCTCGCCCCTTATTAGGCAGCTTGCACTCACTCGTCCTAGTTTTCCCTATCCCCAACTTAAGCAGTAGTTGGTCCTGTCCTATATTGAAAAAATATGTCACAAGTCCAATAAAAACTTCAAAATTTATGAAGAGAAAGGAGAACAGTACTAGCAATCACATGATTTAACTTTATAATCAATTTTGTAGGTTAGAAAAGGACAGATAGCAAACCCACCACCCTTCTCACAACTCTTTAAGGTCGACAGACAGATGCTTGTAAGATTTATGCTTAAAACTTCAACAACTATTACTCCTCAACCTTAGCCACAAAAAATTTTACAGAGTTTGTAATTCAACAACAAATGACTATCAAGCCTTGGATCAATTTGAAAACTGTATGCCATTAAGTGATACTCAGTACAGAAAAAAGGAAGGAAAATAATAGAATCTAAAGAAGCAACACATCTGAAGAATTTTGAAAAAGGGGAATAATTTAATGTATGCATATGCAGATGTGTTCAAAAGTAAGTTATTAAAAAAGGTAAAACTAAAATATCAATTGTCAGCTTCATACACTCTTCAATCCTAATCATGCAACAAATGAAAACAAAAGGTAGGCTTCAGTAGTATTTTCTGCAGTGAATAACTGTACAATTTAAGTATGCACATACCATTTCTTTGTCAATCAATCTTCATATGTATCCATTTGATCAACAGAAAAATGATATTTGACAAGAAAAAAACATTCAAAAGTCAGTTTACCACATAAGCATGTGTTTGGTGACAAATTTTGAACAAAGAACTAAAACATCACCAATACCTTCTCAATATTCTGCGCAAATAATAAGCATCCATGTGTTCCAACATGCAAGACATGATGTTGGATCTCCACCAAAAGTTAATTGCAATGGTCAAATCATCACTATCTACCTGGTGGAACCTACCGCAAAGAAAAATTAATGAAAATAATGACATGTAAAGAACAATACAGATGATTAAGAAGTTTATAGATAGAGTATAAGAAACATAGATTGTCTAAGGACAAGCCAACTAAGAAGAAAAATATGTTAATAACATTTTAAACACCAAACATAAAGACATTACAGAAAATATGGAGGTGACACTTAAAGTGACAAATGAAGCATAATGCACTAAACATGAATGTTTAAGTAACATAAATTATGAAAAACAATCAAGTGATCAACAAACAAAATTATTTTTTCACTGTTTTTAGGATATGTTTGAAATTTCCATCCTTCAGGAATGATTTACACTATCATGGTACAATTACCTTTAGCTAGCTAGGCATTCTATCCCAAAATGATTTACACTCAAAACACAAAAGCTACGATTTATCACTTTAGCTCAAACATGAATTTAAAAGCAAAATCAATTTGGTCAAGAGAAATCAAACATCAAAATTTTCTATAAAATCACATTACAATGAAATAAATGTGATTATGTGGGATTTCATTGTGAATCCAAACATGCACACAAACAATGAAAGTTCCAGGCATCTTACATCTACCACAAAATGCCTAGAAAAAAAAATTGACAAGTTCAACTATTGCCATGCAACACCCTAGTTTCCCTGACCAACCAGCCTGACTGATTTTCCCTGATTCAGCAGAGGATCAATCTACCAAAAAACCAAGAAAAGTTTATCATAAAGACATTGTTGAATTTTAGATCTTACCAGCCCTCTGGAATGAAAAGTGCATCACCTGCCTCAAGAACAACCCTTTGGGCAAACTCCATAGAGCATTCTGCCCTTGGATAAGTTGAGTAATCAGGGTTTTCTAAAGCAACAGAACTGCCATACAAATTTTATTGGGGAAAAAAGACAAAAGAAAAAACTGTTAGAATATAATAATTTGTTAATGAGTATGTGTTATTCAGCAGTCTTGTAAGAACTGTATGATTCTCACACCAGTAATACACCCTTTTTAACCCATAAACATACATATAGGGAGCCTAACAATCATTTAGTGCACCCCCAACATACAGAAACTCTATCTATCCTCTCTTTTCTCTCAATATTTGTTTTTCAAGCAAACCTGTGATTGGAAGCCTCCCCGTATATAGGCATTGGGTAGAGTGAGGAACTAGCAGAAGGAGGCCACAAAACAACTGCAAAGAATTTGGTTCTGTTAGATGTCATAAAGGAGATTGATATGTGGGGAAGCAAAAGAAGGAACACGAGGACTACTTAATATAAGTAATTGAAAAACCCAGAAAGGATTTTTGCCAAAAACATAAAAGACTATCAACAGGGTGAAGCAAATAGAGTTCCAAAACTCCACGAGGAGTTATACATTGTCATGTTTCATTAGACATTAAATAGGTTAAAAAATCAGTAACCCATAACAAAGTACTGAAACTGATACCATACCCAGCACCTACATTATTACAAAGGAAAAAAATATTCACTCTAGGAGGTGATATGATATCAAGAAAAGGAAGAGACATATACCTTACCTTGTTTGCGGCCAGAGACTATGCACAGAAGATTCTGGTGTGGATCATAGTGTGTACTTGATCTAGCTTGGGCATTGTTCATCCACAAATTTATAGAAGATAGTTCTTTTGCCCCCAAAATTGGAGGCTACAGAAAATAACAAGCTTAAATCAGAATTTTATGAATCAAAGTTCCTAGCACAGAACAACTCACTATGCAGAACTATAGACTACAAAACAAAATAACAGATATAAATGCACTAACCATCTGAATGTCTTCCCTTAGAGTTTCCAAATGAACCCTCTCCTGCCTATCACTGTTCATAATTGGCACCTGAAGACATGCACGTAACCAAAATTCATTCTAAAACTACGGCACAAAGTACAATCATACTATCAAATAAGCAAAAAGTAAAAGAAAAGGAAAATGTACCGGCAGAACCAACCCAGAGATGACCTTAATAATAATAATAATAATAATAATAATAAAGCCTAATATTTTTTGCCAAGACAAGAACAACAACAAAAAAGTCATTTCATGAACCAATTGGCAAAGGTATCTATTATCTCTCATGTGCGTTGGATTTTAAACCTGTGCTAAATAAATTTGTTCGGGAACATCTTCCAAGGCCGAACAGCTATGTTCTGTGTCATGAGTTTGTGTGTCAAGGCAATAATCAAGTTCTTGTTGGTTCTCACTTTGCATCTGCATCCGCTTCTTACAGAATGCAAGGAAGGTAGAAAATGGAAGAGGAACCTACACAGAAAGGAAAACAAAAATTTATTTCATATCATCTCTTTCACAGAGAATTGAAAAAATAATAAACATAAAAATGAAAATACCCTATGATGGCTTCCAAGATCACCATAAAAAACGGGCGCAGATGGAGAAACCATAGCCTCCACCACACAAGAGCCTACCCGAGCCTATGTTTCAAACACACAGCACCAAATGAAAATGTTGAACAGAATTCAAGCAATGACACAAGACACAACAAAATGAACGATGCAGAAAAGAGTACAGAACGTGAATTAAGTTAAGAGAAACCTGCAAGTAGTCGAGTCCACCGTTGCATGGATTCCAGTGGGAGAAGGCTCTCCAACCCTTCGTGCATCCACGAAAAACCTTTTCCGGTTCCAAAATTCGCCAATTAATCAGTTAACTAATTTTAAATTAATAAATGGACGCAACAAAGAGAAGAGAAAATTGCTTACAGCGGGAACGTTTGTAGGTTCTATCAGAGAGTCGAAGTCTTTAGCCGTTGGAAGCTCTTCGTAACTTCGGATTCCAATGGACAACTCCTCCATTCGTCCTTCAACTTCGAAGTTTGAAGTAGCTACAAGGATTGAATGCTCCACTTTCGATTTCGGAACTTGCTAGTGGCCAATTCAGAATTGCGACTTTGCCTGGTTGGAGCTACTGCGAGTAGAGTCCACGTTCGCAACTGTGATTTCAGGGCCCGCGGGCTCCTCAGCTCCAGCTTCGAAGGGCCACGTTCTCCAATGGGCTCACTCGATGCAAAGCCCATTAATGAAGCCCAAATGGGGTGCATAAACCCCCTTCATTTCTTTTAGACCAAAAACAAAACGACCTTAATTTTACACAGTTAGATCCTTAATGGGCTGGCACTACATTTAGCCAAACTTATAGATAGTTAGAGTTACATTTTTTTTTTTTTTGTTTTCTGTTAAATATCATCATTTGAACAACTTCAGGACTAAAATAACAGTAAGGATTAATTTGATTTTAGATTTTATTTTTAAATTTTGTTTCTTATTTAGTATTAATTACAAAAATATTTTGTTATTTTACCTTGTTTTTCATTTTTAAAGATTTATATAAAACCAGTGGAAAATAATTTAGTATATCAAATTTTAAAATTAATAAATAAAAAATTATTATTATTTAGAAAAAACACAAACATAAAATATTTTCTCAAACTAAACAACCTCTAAATTATGGTTTGGAAATTTCCAAATACAAAGGCAAACACACATACATTGTGGTAACTGATGGAAAAAGTAATAAATAGTGTTAGAACACACATGCCACATTAACATTTGATATACTAATACTATAGATTAACAATACATAACATTTATACGAATAATCTAACTTTCGATAGATAAAAATTATATTAAAAGATATTAATCTACCAAGCCGTTAATAAACGATTTTTTTTTAGCTTACGTTTGTGATACATCTCAAGTCTCAACCAAGTTTCTTTTGTTCCAACTTTTTCTGCAAAAAATCAAACAACTTTTTAAGTTGTTTGACTGATCCAACTTGTCGGTTTGAAAATTATATTTAATCTGTGTTCTTCACATGTCCATTTCCAGACTTACGAAGCTTACAATGTTCACATCTTGATGTATTCTTATTGACAAGTTGATTCAAAGTGCTTTATTAAACCATTGATCCACCAATTAGTATAGTTTAAGCCTTTAATGTCAACCAAAAAACTTTATGACTGAGTCCTCTAATCACCAAACTATCTAAAAGCAACCAAGATATTTTTTTAAGGTTTTTATTAAGTGAAAGTGGCCCCTAGTTATTTATTTTGCTGAACTTCAACCCTTCATCTAATCATCTCCAATTTGAGCCCAGCTTACTAAAAATATTATTAGTAACACCCTTTTTAATACAGTTTTTTAATATTAACTATAATTTATTAAAAAATATAAAATTACATGATTTTTTTTCACCCTTAACTTAATAATTTTTTTTATAATTTATAGTTTTTAATAAATTTTATCTAATAATTAAGAATGCATTAAATTAGTCTGACCCAAAATTAAAACATTGAACAACTCGTTAGAATGCTTCAAATTTGTGAGATTATACACGTAACTTAGCCTTACTGCATGCATGACCAAGTCGAAACCATGATGGAGGCTCGAAAATAAAATAATAGAGCAAACAAAAGAACACTTGAAACTTCAACATTGAACTTAATTTCGTGTTTGTTTTGGACGTTTACGAAGTCTTGCGCAGTTTTTCTCAGACTGTTTGCAATGCCAATCTTCTCACAGTTTTGAAGTTGCAACCTATTTGCTAGTTAGAATCATAATTAAACTTGAGTAGTTCAAGAACATTTCAAATGTTCTATCTTGAAACAAATTAACATTGTATATAAAACTTCAAGTTTCGTTTAACAGCTTCATAATACAGGTATTTTTTTCCTTCCCCTCTTAAACAAGTGGATGATAGTAATTAAATTGAAGTCATCTTTTTATCAATAGGAGAATACAAGATGATCAATTTTAAAATCAAAACCTGAACAGTTCAATTTTTGTAGCAACCAAAGAAGGTTATACAAACGTGAAACATTGATGAATCAACGTCAAGAATAGTTGTAAATATTAAGTGAATTTTTATGGAAGTGAAACAAGACCTGTCATGAGAAATTTTATTTGATTTTTAAAGCCAAAGTATATGTTATGTTTTAGTTTAACTTATTGTTAAACACATTGTCAGATGGCATGTGATTATATTCTATATCATTTTTAAAGTTGATGGTCAATTAATTTTATTCCACACATTAAAACTTGAGTATTCTCTTCTCACCTTAATTATTTTTGCCATTAAAACAGAATTACTCGTTAATTAAGGTTTTGTTATAATTAATTTCACACATGTACTTGTTGACTTTAGTCAATATGCATCAAGTTCTTCATTTGAAAAGATAATGATATCTTTGTAGGATACTCCAATTAATCACTACCAAAAGTTGCATTTATTTTCGTTAATGATTTATATTCATCTAATGAAATTAAATAATTAATATAAATATTGCAATTTTATAAAAATAATAATATATAACATTAACATATATACATACAGCAGATTATTAATATAATACAAGTTTAAATAAAGGTTTTATCTTCAAAAATTTGTGATTTTATGTTTGATGATAATTCTTTTTATTTTAATTTAATTCTCCATAACATTTTTATTTAATCTCTATTAGTACGTTATTAAATTATTTTATTATTTACTTGCGTAACATCTTAATTAATTCGTAATTGAATCAACAAATAACACAAATAAAATGCCTTATTAATAACATATTTTTGGACAAAATTTTAGGTTAAAAAGTTATTTTTTTAAATTTAAATTTTAAAATATGTTAAAAATAAGATATTGATGTGACGTTATTATCCACTTTAATTAAGTGTCATGATATATAAATCAAGTTGAATGTTGTATAAATAAATAAAAATAATGTGAAAAAACTAACATATATTTTAAATAAAAATAAGAGACTAAGTACAAATATCATAAATTTTTAAAGACTACAAATTTTATATAAACTTATGATATATTATAGTATGAATTTAACTAGAATGTATTGATAGAATAAACATTTAAGAATTATAATTTTATATTATTATTCGATCGTAGTTTGTGATGTTATTAATAATTTTATATAATATTTATTTAAATGTTATATTTATCTATAATTTAATTACTTGATAATATATAAAATATATATTAACATTAAACTTTTACATTATTGGTGCGGATTTTTATTTATATTAATGATAATATATTATTTCTTAAATAAGTGTTGTTTAAAAAACTTTACTATTCAAACGAATTCTTATGCTTTGTGATGCTTTAAAAGCTTTTGCGTTCAATTATTTTATCACCGTGTCACATTTAAACATTGTTATGAGTAGTCTTCATGAGACATGTGATATATTTCAAATCATAGAATAATAAGATAATTTTTTATTTCTTATTTTTGATATCAGCAACTTGTAATTAATATTCGTTGTTAAAATATATTAAAAAATTCTGTAATGACTCGATTTATTTCCATTTTTTTATTTACGATTTATTTCCAACTCCAACTGACAATGACTTTGTTAGTTTTAAGGAATTGTAAATAATTTCAATTTATTCCTAAATCCAAATGGATGTTTACAAATTATTTAATAAAGATTAAAACAACTATCTGACGAGACTTTCTAAGAGGCAAACAAACAGAAGATATACAAACATGGAATAGGAAAAATAGTTTTTTTTAAAACGCTGTCTGTATTTAAGTTTTATCCATATTATTAACACAGGATGTTCATTAAAACGTGTAAGATTGAGTTTATTTTAACTTTTATTAAATTCAAATTTTGATAAGGTTATTTATTTATTTTCATTCGAACTTGATCTAATTAAAACACGATAATATACCAGATTATACTAAAAAATTATAATATACCGGATTATATTAGGTTCACCCAAATTACAAAAATGATATATTCATTTTAATGTATATAAAAAAATCATAAAATAAAAAAATATTTTTTTATGAATACTTAAAGGCATTAGTTTGACATGTGATATTTTGATATCTGATATTTAGTGTAAGTCTTAAAAAACACAGCTACGTTAAATATTAAAAAGAATATGTTATTATCTATAATAGTTACATTCAAGTTAAATTATTTTCTTATAAAAGATATTTATGATTAAAAAAATCCCAATATTTCAAATTAAATTTGTCATGCCTTTTGGCGATTGAGTCAACAGTAATTGTTAGGGTCTATTCATAACTTTTTTTTTATTTAAATTGAGTTTTAACATGCTATTTTTAATAAATGGGTTGGATATATCAATTCGTTTAATCTTGAAAAATTTGAAGATTAACTACGAGTTTAAAAAATATTTTAAGATTAAAATGTTTATGTAATATATTTTATCAAAAATTAAAAGTCTTTATAAACATATATATTGGTTATAAAAAAATTTATAGATTTTTAAAACTCTCTCTTTCTAAGATAGGTTCTTGCATTGAATAGAGAGACTTTTTTTTTTCTTTTTTCTCTGCTACGGTTTCTCCACCCTAGGATTTCCTTCTAAGCGCTTGCACCACTGTGCTCCTGGTGGCCCAATTCGAGTAGGCTTTTGAGTGGCATCATAGTGGGATTTCGTTGTGACAATATATTGGAGGCAGAGAGTATGGAGCCTTCAGAAGATGAGGCCCAGTCGAAAGAAGACCTGAATCTAATGGCTAGAAGTACGTAGAAAATCAAGACGATCTCAGATAGCGTCATTGACGTGGTGAACTTGTTAGCTCAAAGAAAGGATAGCGAGGAGGGTTTCGCAAACCAGGTGCTTTCTTTTCCTGAATCTCCTCTTTATATGTCTTACAAGGATAAAGTTGCAGCTGGTAATCACATGGATCTGACTTTTAATAATAACAAAATTATAAAATCAGTCTTAGAAGAGCTAAATATCCCTCAAGAATTAGATGACTCTACCACAGAGGGAAACCAGAATCTTTGCCCTGAAATAAAAATTCAACTAGAGGACTATGAACTCTAGTGCAATCCATGGAAGTTCACCCTGATTGTGAAAGCTTTTAAGTAAAAACATTTCTTTTAA